TCCTGGCTTGTATTTCTTAATTGGCTAAAGCTAAGCCCAGACAGACATATGGGACAGTGTAGAGAATGTTTTTTTTTTACCAGATCTGTCTGCTCCCGCTTCCCCCCAAGAGAGAGATGCATCGATCACCTGGTATCAGATAACAACCCAATGATGGGAGGGTTGATTTCCGATCAGCGGAGGCAAAGACACTGAGGCACCACTCTTCCCATCAGGGAGACATTATATTTTTAAAGGCTCTAATTGGACAGAGCTGATCGGGTTGGTCACTTCCGACGTCTACTGTAACTACTGTCATTGGACCCTATGTCCTTAAAAGCAGGGGTTGGTTCAGAAGGGTACAAGGCTAGGATTAAGATAGAAATGTATTGTGTATCTTCAGTTGAGATGAATTAGACTGCAACCCTGAATTTCCAGTTGCAATGTAACCAAAATAAAGCAGTGTAGTTTGCATACACAGTTGAAGTCGGAGGTTTACATACACCTTAGCCAAATACATTTAAACTCAGTTTTTCACAATTCCTGACATTTAATCCTAGTAAAAATTCCCTGTCTTAGGATCACCACTTTATTTTAAGAATGTGAAATGTCAGAATAATAGTAGAGAGAATGATTTATTTCAGCTTTTATTTATTTCATCACATTCCCAGTGGGTCAGAAGTTTACATACACTCAGATAGTATTTGGTAGCATTGCCTTTAAATTGTTTAACTTGGGTCAAACGTTTCGGGTAGCCTTCCACAAGCTTCCCACAATAGGTTGGGTGAATTTTGGCCCATTCCTCCTGACAGAGCTGGTGTAACTGAGTCAGGTTTGTAGGCCTCCTTGCTCGCACACGCTTTTTCAGTTCTGCCAACACATTTTCTATAGGATTGAGGTCAGGGCTTTGTGATGGCCACTCCAATACCTTGAATTTGTTGTCCTTAAGCCATTTTGCCACAACTTTGGAAGTATGCTTGGGGTCATTGTCCATTTGGAAGACCCATTTGCGACCAAGTTTTAACTTCCTGACTGATGTCTTGAGATGTTGCTTCAATATATCCACATGGTGCACATCTATTTTGTGAAGTGCACCAGTCCCTCCTGGTGCCACCCCCATGCTTCATGATGCTGCCACCCCCGTGCTTCACGGTTAGGATGGTGTTCTTCGGCTTGCAAGTTACCCCCTTTTTCCTCCAAACATAACAATGGTCATTATGGCCAAACAGTTCTATTTTTGTTTCATCAGACCAGAGGACATTTCTCCAAAAAGTATGATCTTTGTCCCCATGTGCAGTTGCAAACCGTAGTCTGTCTTTTTTATGGCGGTTTTGGAGCAGTGGCTTCTTCCTTGCTGAGCGGCCTTTCAGGTTATGTTGATATAGAACTCGTTTTACTATGGATATAGATACTTTTGTACCTGTTTCCTCCAGCATCTTCACAAGGTCCTTTGCTGTTGTTCTGGGATTGATTTGCACTTTTTGCACCAAAGTACATTAATCTCTGGGAGACAGAACGCGTCTCCTTCCTGAGCGGTATGACGGCTGCGTGGTCCCATGGTGTTTATACTTGCGTACTATTGTTTGTACAGATGAACGTGGTACCTTCAGGCGTTTGAAAATTGTTCCCAAGGATGAACCAGACTTGTGGAGGTCTACAATTTTTTTTCTGAGGTCTTGGCTGATTTCTTTCGATTTTCCCATGATGTCAAGCAAAGAGGCACTGAGTTTGAAGGTAGGCCTTGAAATACATCCACAGGTACACCTCCAATTGAGCCATGACATCATTTTCTGGAATTTCCCAAGCTGTTTAAAGGCACAATCAACTTAGTGTATGTAAACTTCTGACCCACTGGAATTGTGATACAGTGAATTATAAGTGAAATAATCTGTCTGTAAACAATTGTTGGAATAATTACTTGTGTCATGCACAAAGTAGATGTCCTAACCGACTTGCTAAAGAACTATAGTTTGTTAACAAGACATTTGTGGAGTGATTGAAAAACGAGTTTTAATGACTCCAACCTAAGTGTATGTAAACTTCAGACTTCAACTGTAGTATATTAACTAAGGGTTGTAGGATACACCATAGGGTAAATCTATCGTCTGTTTCTGACGATTATGTGATAAGACTGTTAAAGCTGAACATACAAAGGAAGCTCCAAAAAGTATTGTTTGGCAGCTGTTTTATTTTCCCACAGCTCCCTCTCTTATCTGGCTAGACAGATCAGGTCATTAATTTTCTTTTGAACTTCCATTGTAATTTTTTTCTATCCTCAGTTTTCACAGTTTGCATTGCTACTCTGTAGGCTACGTGATAAAAATGCAAAGATAGAAATCCTATACGCAACATCGATCATAGCTACATTTTAATTTGCTTTTACTCATTAGAGCACAGAGGTCCATGAGATGTAGTCATAAAGCTGAGATTGGAATGAAAATAGCTAATTAAACACACATAAGAAATGGAAGAATCATTATTTCCATATGGAAATATCAAAATATATAAAGACAGACTTAAATACGATGCACATACATCTCGAGTATGGCAGTATCAGTGATAGCAATACTGTACTGCAGTTAATGGTCAGGTATCATCAGGAAAATGTCTGCTGAAATCAAGATACACAGTGCAGCGCAGAGTGATGTGATGATTGTGGAATTGTGATCCATCAAGCTCTCCGACTGTCCTGAAGATCACAAATATTTTATGAACTAATGTTTTTTTCTCTTCAGAAGGAAACAAAATAAGTTTTGAACAGCACATAGGGATTGATTAGTTACTGGATATTGATCTAAACAAAAACAATGAAGAGGTGATAGATAGCCTACCAATCTTACCAAAACGTGTGAGGGCTAGGTCCACAAACCACAGTTTTTTGTTTGTTTAATTGATATTTATGTGTTTAATTGATATTTCACTGCCAAGGCAGGAATAGTTTTGATAAACTGTACACAGACCTGCTAGTATTTGATTGGTCCACATTTTACTCTGTCTATCTTGAAGAAGCCACATGAGAATTACTGAGGTGAGGTGAAATTAAAGAGGGTCAGAAAATGTTCTCTTGTTTTATGAATTATTGGAGTCGAAGGGCCTGTTTTGCACCTGTTGTTGACTAAAACTAGGTAGGACAAACAGAAGAAAATATGATCGTAAAATGACAGTTTTTTATCTTTCTTTTTACCTTCTGTTGTTGACCTTTTAGCAACCTTCTTTCTCAGTGAAATCTAAATAGAATTGCGGTGGAACCTACATGCATATAAATAGGTTTACAATTCAGTTATTTTAATGATAATTCTGTATTTAGGCTACGTCTCTAGTCTCCATGGTAATATCTAATTGTATAGCCATGCTATTTTCATTATGAATGATGATAACTCTTTAATCTCTCACTCTTTTAAATGTGTCATATCTTTGATAATAGTTCAAACATGACTATCTGGTTATTTAACTGAACTTTTTAATAATCTGAATAATTATACAGAAAAGAGGACAAAAAAAATGTTTGTGAAGAAAAAAGCAAGTCTTGGGATCGGAGTATTGCCATTCATTAATCTTTTTGAATATTTTGTGTTGCTTCTGACTATAAGATCCGTTTGATGTGTATGCTTTGAAAGGAATTTGTAGCCTCTCTCACTGACTTGGTTGAAGGTACTTCGGCTGTGTTTACACAGACAGACCAATTCCGATCTTTTGGCCAGTTCTTGGTCTTTTGATCAATCAGAATCAGATCTTTTTCCAATAATGAAATGTAAAAACATGCTAATATCCGGTACATTGACTTGCATTGGTTGTTGGTTAGACAATGTTAACATCAGCGGATGGTGTCAGGGGCAACGTAAACAAACCCAAAGAAATAATTGCACTCTGTCATTGTTAATAGACTGCTTACAAGGAACGAAAACAAACGTCATTTTGTAATTTGGGTGAACTATCCCTTTAGATGCTGTATAAAAAACTAGAGTGGTTTACTTAGAAACCATGAATAGCACTCACAATAAGCAATCTCCTAACTGTGCAGTACGGTACGAAAGATAAAAATACCTCCATAACCTGAGGTGTGTATGTGCTGAATCCACTAGGTACTAAAGCTTCTGTGCGCACACAGACACACACACACACACACTTCAGAGTGGTATTTATCATGGCTTCCCCATTGCAGTATTACTGTAATAGTCACCTGAGGGGAGGAACAAAGCTGTGAAGTGTGATGACTCGTTGGGAGGTCCCTAGCATCAAACAGCACCCAGGTCTATGCCTGTACTCCGCTCTCTATTCTACCTGATGATGACAATGATGATGACGATGAGGACGGTAGTCATCATATCGCTGAATACACTATGATCAAGATGATGATCTGGATTCATCCGACAGCTCCAGGGCAAGGCACGGTCTAATTACTATATCTCCCTGGATAACCAGCTGCTGCTTCCAAATTATGCTGCTTTAACCCCTCTCAGCATCCCACACCCGCAGGACTCAACCCTGTCCTCAGGATTCTAGTGAGGGAGCTACATCCTGCCGAGAACTTGGGAATTCATTTAATTAGAGTCCAGAGCTATCACTGTTGAGAAGAAAACGTATGAAACACTGCAGAGGAGAAGAAGAAAGAGAATTTTAAATAATGTGGAAAAAATAAGTCGTGTTTTTTAGTTGGCAGTTTCGCTTGTGGGGTAGTTAGTTGTGTGGATAGCTAGATAATTGCTGGCATCGAGGGCTGTTTTTGCACATTCTTCGGGCATCAAAAAAAGATGACGGTGGCAGAATTTAAGACTGTGTTTAATTTCAGGGTTGGAACTGGATGTGGCGAACAGGAGTATGTTTAGTTTAGCTTTTTTTAGAGACAAAAAGGAATACAATTCCAGAAACGTGCTTAAAAATTCAGAAATGTTGCTGCAGCTTATCATCAGTTTGACTGAGATTTTGCAGGATGAACAAAATTTGACCTTTAAAGGAAATTGGTCACAGTATATGTTTATTTGGTTTATAGAATGAATCCATCTTAAAATAAGGATAGATATTCAGCCCTGAAAGTGAGAACAATGTTACTAAGGCACTCAAAGGGGTAGTTCACTCGAAATACAAATGATCATGTTTTCCCACTTACCATTCACTACAGCCAAGGTAACTGGCAAAATCATGTGAATTTGTATTTAGAGTGAACTATCCCTTTAACGCGACAAAAATGCCACACATACACACAAGTTCCTATTTCCACTGCTTCTTCACGTAGTCCCAGTGATAGGCGAACCCACCGACGGGGTTTATCCTCATGTCAATCATTCTCTGGGTCTGCTTCTCCACCCATTCATCAGACAGAGTGTGAGGAACCTCGCCAAACACTGAGAGAGAGAGATAGAGAGATATATATATATATATATATATATATAGAGAGAGAGAGAGAGAGAGAGAGAGAGAAAGAGAGAGAGAGAGAGAGAGAGAGAGAGAAAGACATGACTGTTGCATTAGACAATGTCAGTCTCAAGAGATAAGACGTGACTGTCTCCACACAATGACAAAACTGTGTTGCAAGATGTTTTTGTGGATCAGACAAGGACGCAAAATGTATTGTTTCAAGAATCTTCCAGGACACTCTTGTAATAACATTGTCTCAGTGAGGCAAACAGTTTGGGCCATGTCCAGGGCAAAACAACTGGCATCAATGGAGGATCTCCACTTTTTAGCCCAGGACTAGTTTTATTAAACTGTATCCGGGAAAACCGGTCCACAGTCAGGTGTTTTGTGTTATCTTCCTCAGTGCATTGGATGAGAAATTGCATGAGACCAAAAAGCATTAGGGCCTGAGTTTCGTGAGAAACCATTCTTATCACTTTCCACATATAGTCATAATGAGGTAGTTCGTCTTGAGTCTCAGGCCATGTACACCAGTCCGTGCATAAGCAGAAGTGAACTCAGCCACACTCGAGCTGAAGTAAAGAGTATTCTTTTAGGTTTGATATTATAAGCACTTATGTTTTGAGTCAGCATGTATGAAGCTATGAGGTCATTCTGCTTAAATCCCTTTACAGAAGGTGCAAGGTGGTTCAACCATGAACCATGACGATTTGACCAACTCAATGATCACGTTCGCCTTAAAGGGGATTGTTATTTCTATATTTCTACCTCAAACAAATGTTCATTCCATTCAGTTACTAACTCATGGACACTCACTCAGCCACAAGACAGTTAACTTCATACATTAAATAATGACATAAACAAATGTAAAAAGGCTGATTGTACAAGATCCCCCAAAATCATCAACTACAAGGAATACCAAACATTCTTTAAGGGAGCATTCCCGAAATGGGAATTCTGTGGGAACGGTGAAAGCCACTTGTATGTCGGAATGCGCCGGAGACGGGCTGGGAGTGAACCTGTATCCTGAGGGGAAGGGAGGGAGGGATTGGGAAAATCACCCTTTATCTTTATCCGTTCTCTTAGAAGCATGGCACATGGTAAAGTCTATCCAGGAAGCAACTATTTTTCCCCCTAATTAGGTGGAGGGAGCCCCCTCAGCGTTGCACACACCCTGATTTACAAGTCCCAACTTGAGCTCCAAACTATGGGAAATACCCCATTCTTAACTGAATTGGCTTCCCATCTGTCTGTCTGGGTCTCCCTCTTTCTGTCTCTCTCTATCTGTGTATCAATTTGGGGGACCCCCTATTTTCCTTTCCAGTAGGAAAAAAATTGGGGGCCCCCCCCAAAAAAACAATGGCCAAATCCCTTTTTTGCCCCTTTTTTTTTTATGGGGGAAAACCCCCCCCCCTTTTTTTTTTATTTTTCCCTATGGAAGTAAAAAAAGGGGTTTTTTTAAACCTTCTTTCCTTTCCACTTGTAAATTGGTTTTCTCAAATCCACCTTCCCCCCTAAAAAAATTTTCACCCCTCCTTGGTTTCTTTTTTTTGTTTTTTTTGTTTTTCGCATTTTTTTGGGTCTTCTCAAAACCCCTTTACCCAAGGTTTCAAAAACCAAATTTCCACTTACACCCCAAGGGGGGATTGTTTTTTTTTTTTCTCCTAAAACAATTTTTTTCATTTCTAGGGGCCCTCACCAAAGGGGTTAACCCCAAATTTTTCCCCCTTTTTTTCCCCTCCCCAAACTCTCCTTCCAAACTTTTAAAAACTTCCCTTTTCTGTCGGGGGCCCTTTTTCTCCCCAACCTTTCCTTTCCCGGGGGGGGGGGGTTTTTGGGGTCCCCTTTTCTTTTCCTTCTCTTCCCCCCGGGGGGCCCTTTTTTCCCCCTTTTTTTTCCCCCCCCCTTTCCCCCCCCTTTTTCCCCATTTTCCCCCTTTCCCCTTCTTCTAATTTCCCCCCTTTTTTTCTCCCCTTCTCCCTCTTCTTTTCTCTTTTAAAACCCCCCTTCCCCTCTTTGCCCCCCACCCCAACTTTTCCCTCTTTTCCTCTCCCTTTTTTCTTTCTCCTTTCCCCCCCCTTTTCCCCCTTTTGGTTTTTCCTCCCCCCTTTCTCTTCCCTCCCCTCCTTTTTCCCCCCTTTTTCCCTCTCTTTCCTTTTTTTTTCCTCTCTCTTTTCCTCCTCTTCTCTTTTTTTTCCCTCTTTCCTTTCCTCCTTTTTCTCCTTTTCTTTTCTTCCTCCCTCCTTTTTCCCTCTTTTTTCCTTTTCCCCCTCCCCCCCTTCTCCTCTCTCCCTCTTTTCTTTTCAGGGGTTCCTCCCCCCTCTCCCCTTCTTCCTCTTTTTTTTTCCCCCCCTCCCCTTTTCCTCCTCCTCTCTTTTCCTCTCTCTTTTCTCTCTTTTTTCTCTCTCTTTTTCCCCCCCTCCCCCCTTTTCTCCTTCTTTTCCCCTCTCTCCCCTCCTCTCCTCCTCTCTTTTTCCCCCCTCCCCCTCTCTCCTCTCTCCCCCCTCTCTCTCCCTTTCTTTTCTTTAACCACCCAGTAACACAGCTGATCCAAATTATTCCGCTTGTGGAGATAATAACTTGTTTAAGGGGTGGGGGCTGCAGTAAAAACTGTTCTACCAAGTCTAACGTAACTCACAGCCGCGGAACGAGATCCGCACCTGACTGATGGAGGGGTCAACAAGTGGGGGGTAGGGGTTTTTTTCTGAGAAAGGAGCAAGCAAAAAATGTTTTTAAGCCTGATTTTAACGTAATGGATTTTGAATCTAACATTGTACTGTATCCATTTTATATAGGATGTAAATCACAGGCGGCCGGTGGCATCTTAGTTGGGGAGGACGGGCTCATAGTAATGGCTGGAACTGAATAAATGAAATGAAATCGAACACATGAAACATATGGTTACCATGTGTTTGATACCATTCCATTCACTCCATTCCAGCCATTATTATGAGCCCGTACTCCCCTCAGCATACCCCTGTGATATAAATCCAGTGAGTAGGCTAATGGAATACCAGAGTTGACCAAAACAATTCTGGTTGACTGAATATACACTTATTTAATCATCCCTGATATAAAGTCAAACATTTTGGATTTCAGCCAAGCCAAAATATGTAGTTTTTTTTTGTTTTTGTTTTTTAATCTTCAGCACATGGCCAATTGGTCTATAATTTTTAAAAAATACATTATATTGTGATACAATGCTAATGTTATGATAATTAAATCAGAATCACTTGTACCGAAACTGTGCTCTATAAGGGCCTGGAGTAAGAATTAGTACAACCCAACACCACACTGTCTAGTGAAGTAATGTCTAGTAACACTTAACATCAACCCGTTCCCTTTCTACAGTACTAGTGTGATATGTCACAAGAAGTCATGAGAGCGAATGTATACAATTACAGAACTCAGCCGTATGCAATCTAACCAGGTCTTACTCTTTAGCTAGCTGACCATTTACCCAAAATCGCCTGTGTAAAGTCAGTTGGCATAATCTGATATCAGTTATTATTATTCATGTTTATCACATGTTATGTAATCACAATGAAAGCAGAAAGACGATTTATAATACATTCATAAAATAAGACTGGCCTAGAAATACAACAATACAGCATTTAGCGTGTATTAGAGGGACACTCAAGTGAGTCTACCTTTAAAGGCCCAGTGCAGTCACAATTCTATTCTTCCTGTGTTTTATATCATATTGTACAACAGCTAATAAACTAGTACTGTAAAAGTGTGATTTCTTAAAAAAATCAGTGTTATTTCCTGATAGTTGACGGTTGGAAATACAATCTACACAGGACCTTCTAATCAGCAGGTTTGCATGGGCGGGAGTGTCGGCTTTCCATGGGTAAATTTGTTAATAGACCAATAACAAATAGAGTTACAAACCTCTCTGCCAATAACAGGTTTCCTCTCCGCACGTATACCACTCCCAGACAGTCCTAGCTAAATTCTTGCTTGAGAAATAGTTTTTTGCTAAAAAGCTACTTTTAACAATTTTAATGGAAATCTATTACAGTAAGGTACTTAATTGTAACCAAGAAATGATTTGATATTGAGAAATGATTTGATATTGATATAAAAAACGGCTGCATTGAGCTTTTAACTGACCTAGGTTCAGCTCTCCTGACCCACTTCTTACCCACTATATAACAACAACCGAAATAATGACAAAGTGACAGGGAGACCCACCAAAGATCCTCTGCCACCAGACCAGCATGCCAGAGAAGCCCAGGAAGATGAAGACCCCTCCCAGTACCGTCTTCCATTCACTGGAGCCTCTCCTCATCTCTGGGTAGGTCAGCTCATAGGTCAGACGGTACACTATCAGACAACAGGGGGAGGGAGGGAGGGAGACGGAGAGAGAGAGAGAGAGAGGAGGAGAGAGAGAGAGAGAGAGAGAGAGAGAGAGAGAGAGCGAAGAGAGAGAGAGAGAAAGAAAGAAAGAAAGAAAGAAAGAAAAGAAAGAAAGAAAGAAAGAAAGAAAGAAAGAACAGAAAGAAAGAAAGAAAGAAGAAAGAAAGAAAGTAAAGAAAGAAGAAAGAAAGAAAGTTAATCAAGAAGATTGCGAGTAATCAGGATGGCATTCATTGAAATCATTTTTTGTAACGATCTGATTGAAAATGAAAAGGGTTTGATACATTATGTAATTCAAAGTATTTCTTTGCATAATTGCTTGATCCAAATCATATTTAATATTTAATTGTGATCCAAATTCAGGAGTAAACTAGCTTATCACAGCCTTCATTATGAGTAGACAATATTTATTTTGATTACAATATTATATGCAATATTATTGTAGCTTATATCAAACTGGTAAATAATATCTCTTTGAGTTGTCATTTCTCATATGGAGAGCCTAGAATCTGTTCATAACAATGAATGCAACATGAGAAATAACTCTTGCATAAAGTGAGTTTATATTGCCACCTTGTGTTTGATCTACAATTTTGGCAATATTCAGGTAATGTTAATGCAGATTCAACAGTAACAGTGATCTTTCACCTATTTGTGAACGTTAGTGGTCAGTATTATACATTTACACCTAATTTCCTAAGTAATCCTATGAAAAAAAATAAAAAATAAAAATCTAATTAAACTAATGTAGTCATAAAATAAGATAGGAAAATGGCACCACATTTATACTGCATTAGAAGATTCCAACGTTAAACACTCTGAATTGGGAGCTGTATCAATTGACAGCTGAATCTATTGAGAGCTGAATCTATTGAGATGAATCTATTGAGAGCTAATCTATTGACAGCTGAATCTACTGACAGCTGAATCTATTGAGAGCTGAATCTATTGAGAGCTGAATCTATTGAGAACTGAATCTATTGACAGCTGAATCTATTGAGAGATGAATCTATTGACAGCTGAATATATTGAGAGATGAACCTATTAAGAGCTGAATCTATTGTACCTTTGGAGCACTTCCAGAACATGTTTTTCAAAACAGTATTCCCACCCATCCACCTGCTATAAATGCAGGGCAGCCCAGTACGCCATACTGTGGATGTGTCTCTGAACTAAAACCATACTATTACCAAGTGAGAGTTCCTAAAGAACTGTTTACACCCCTTTCTAACATAAAGGGAGAGCTTTCTTATCATGTACCAAACACCTGGGGCCAAAGTCCCTCATTGTATTGCGTGAGGAAATGTGATTGTAATTTCTATATGACACTGTCAAACACTTAGAAATAGTTACATTCCTTCGTCTTCATTTTCATATGAAAGGATATTTGTTGACCTACCTAGGTCATTTTCATTGGCCACCAAACGGAAGCAAACTAACTGAAACAGGGGGTAACTACCTGGACTTGCCCAACAAGAAACTGCAATTGTCATTTTCCGTTACAAAACAATTTAAAACATTTTCTGTTGTGTGCCGTGATGAACATGATCCAGTTGTGATTGTATCACTAGGATTTACATGCAATTATCTCCTCCTTGGTGAGCTTGGTCCAGGGTCCATTCTCCTTCTCCTTGAGCTGCTTCTGCTCCGAGTTGAGGTTCCTAACGAATGGAACGTCAGAGAGAGGCGTGTCCAGGCGGTTGTTGTACTGTGGCACTGAGCAGTCAAGCACATCAAAGCTCATATCTATATATTCGGACACAAAAAACAGAGACAGACAGTGACATCAATGGTGTTTGGTAAACTGATTGGAAATTGTCTTTATTTGTAATGTTCGTGATATAACGTATTTCAAAGATCCAATCATATTTAGCCTACATTAACTCACGCAGGACAGTCAAATGATGTTATCACTCCCTCTACTGGCGAATAGTGTGAAGTCTGCATCAGCACCGTTTGCACTCTTGACTGATATCCAACCACAGGTTGTTGGTGGCACCTTAATTAGGGAGGACGGGCTCGTGGTAATGGCTGGAGTGGCATTGGTGGAATGGTAGCAATACAGCAAACACATTTTTTCCATGTGTTTGATGCCATTCCATTCGCTCCATTCCAGCAATTATTATCCCCTCAGCAGCCTCCACTGTCTCCAACAGCCTGGCTCCAGCGCCATACAGCACTCCCAAGACCTTTTGACATGGTTGGCGCAAAGCCCAGACCATGTGGAATATGATACCCATAGTTTCTGCCTTAACTGTCTGAGTGGCTCCAAAGCAAGGGGCACTTGACAGCTTAATCATTATACTATACCAGTTATGTATGGCCAGACACCCAATTTGCCCAGACACCCTTTTAGTTACCAATTCCCACCCTGCATATATCATGAAAACCAAACAACACTTTTTTAAATGTAGCCAGTGTGCATTGTGTATCGTTGTTGGCAAGCGCATGTAAAAGTAACAGCGCGCGTATTTACAAATGCATTTACTCAGGGGTAACCTATCAAATCAGACCTCGGGAGATCACCACTCTCTAATGTAGCCTGCACTGTGGGACATGAGACTTATAGGAAGAGCTTACCTTTTCCATGAGCAGCCTGCACGCCGCTGGTAGATGAAAGTGGTCTCCAAAACCCGCTCTTCAGCCCGCGCACGAGTGCTCGAGAGGTCAACATCTGGCAGGTACAAAGCTATGGTAAGGACACTTTACACAAAGCAGTTGCGGTTAATGGTAGGACATTATACTTTAACAGTTGCATAAAATACATACAGTATTTGGGTCTGTTGAGTCAATCAATACACCATAGGCAGTAAACGGCTGCAGAAGTTGATTTGGAAATAGCGTCTAGGCTACTGTGCCTCATATTGAGCAGGTGTTCTGCAAAATATCAAACGGGCAAACTAAAGAAAACTGCTAACTCGAGTGTGGATGTGGGCGCACCGACTGTCACGTAGTGCTTTGGGTGCTAAGGAGTTGCAACATTTACAACAAGGGGGCGCATGGATGAGATACTTTGTATTTTGATAATGTTTTATTGTCAATTCTGCAAACCAAAAGGCATTTTATTGTAAAGAAACAAATATTATCCAAGTATTACAGGTAGCCTATATCTATTGATAGTTATATCTGAATGTTGCGCACTTGTTGAGTAAACGTAAGTGTACATACAGTTCCTGTGGAATGAATAACAAAAAAACAAAAACTTGATGAAATAGAAGGCTTTATAAGAAAATCATGAATTCTAAAATAATTACCTTTATATCGTGCTTTTATTCAGCCCTCTCTGTCCGTCCGATGTGCCTACGTGCTATCTCTATGGGAGTGTATGGACCATTTATAATGTCTATGTAGAGTTTTCAGTCAGGTGTCCCTCACTATCAGTAGAAACAACCAATGAGATGCTTTCAGGAACCGCTCCAACTGAAGTTGTTCTACTTTATTCCAAGCGTGAAGCGTCTGCGGTGTGACAGTCAGTTGAACAATACCAGGATTGTGTCTACGTGAGGTTGATCAGAATTACATTCTAATAGCTCATATCAATAGGCTGTGTACTGCAAAGTATATCTAGTGTACTTTGTTGCACATATCATAGGCTAATACGCACACATCTGCGCGCGGATAGTCCGCACAAACCACTTTCGGATGTGATACTTCCTGCTCATTTATCTCATGCTTTCATTTTGAATTTGTTTAAAATAACAACCTGATTTGCCATACATGTTCAATTATTGAGAATTCTCCGTTATAGATAAGGACCATTTTGCCAATCAGCTTGACCATTAAGCGTTCCAATCATCATGGATATTTTCATTGCAACTAAAATTGAAATTAGGCTGTGTTTAAAATGCAGTGGAGCTAATAGTAGGCTTACTTTGTTTTCAGTGGCACTTAATAGCATTAACCCATCTTGTATTCTAGCAGCCTACCCACTTACATAACTAGGCCTAAACTTTCTCCCGCTCTTATCATCCTCCCGCTCTTCTAAATGTGTCTGAATTTCCTATTTGTTGCGGTCAGGGCAGGTAAAACATTTTGAATGATCAGGCAGATTTGAAAACCCATCAATTTCCCTGGCCCCAGTTTTTCAAAAGTTATCGGATTTCAGCAATTGGATAGGATTAAATGTAACAATTGGGTTTTTCAAAACTGAAAAATTAGACTGATCCTCCTCATATTTTTAATCTAGATACCTTTATGTAGTTTACTAAACATCAGACTGTTACCATACTTGATGCATAATATGTCAACAATAGCCGAATGTAACCGAACATAGTCGACTGAAGCGAGTTTCCTCGTAATCAGCTGGAAGGGTTTGTGGAATTTGCCAACTGATCGCGTGGGACAATGTTCGGTCTGTGGTTCGGTTAGGCTTTGCTATATTTTGCAATCGTTTTTTGCGTGCGAAAAAACTATAACAGACCCTCGTACTGAAGGTCGGGTTGATAATGCTTCCCTGTGAATATTTTGTCTCAGATTACCTCCAACATAGGGACAAAATCGGCAGACAGCAGGTAAAGTAATTTGAAATGAAGTTTGTTCAACATTCTGAGTTGTAATGGGACTGTTCGGGAATTCTGAGCCTACATGTTAGAGACGAGTGTAAGATTTTCACTCTCGGATTCTAAAAAAAAGCCTGTTTCCCTAACAGTGTAGCAGTAGTAGCATAACCTGTCCAGTAGATGGCAAGGTGTAGACCTGTTCAAAATAACTGAAAATACAGATTCTTTGATTTTGATACCATGGCATCTGGATCAGAATATTCCTATCCGATTTTCTGAAAAAACGGTTCAAAAACAGCCAGATGGATCTGATCCAAAATTGCAAAAAAGAGGATTACAGAATCCAGATAATTCCGATCCTGATAAATTTTGAAAAACTGGCCCCTGATGATCTGGGCCCTGATGATCTGGGTCTTCTCTTGGTGGGCGGCAGGTAGCCTAGCGGTTAAGAGCATCGCTTAATGTGTAGCCTAGTTCAAGGTGTCTTTTGCACCTTTGTGCCACTAGGTGGTATCATTATACCTAAATTAAATACCACAATCATACACACAAAACAAAAAGATTCAGTAGTATGTTTTATTACTTTTTTAAACCGCAAAATAAAAAATTAAATAACAGAAATCTACAACATATATTATGTCGTACTCATGCTGTTCATTTTCAATGAATAAACCACTTAACTGAGACTATCAACAATATACTCCACAACCTGAATGACAAGAAAAGCAGTAAATATTACAAAGAATATGATCTTACAGTATTGACTAAACAGAAAAATAACTGTCCTTTCTCTGGCATTTAAAGTTTCCTCAGTACAAAGGTTTCTCTATATTTACAGTATGATTGATCCACAGTACAAGATATATCTTGCATGCCTCCAAGTAACTGGAGAAGTATAGATACATTTAGGATATACTGTATACAGGCAGCCGCTGCTTCTTGAATTGCATTGAACAACAAAGTCATCATATCATCACCTCTCTTTCAAAAATACTTTTTCAAAAATCTCTCTCTCGAAAGGCACCAATGAAGTTAAAGGCAGGACAGCCAGCTCCGCCCACTGTCACAGGGACATCATAAGTTGCAGGGGGGGATTGGTATAGTTTTCGGAGAGCCACCGACATCCCTTGGTTCTGTTCACAAAACCTTGTGCAAATAAAGAAAAAAACAACTCAATACTCTTTCCCTGAAGGAGAGCAGACACGATCATGATAAAGATGGAAAATAAATACCCTGAAACTAAAAATAAGCTTATAATAACTCAAACCACCTCGAGGGCCTAGGTGGAATATTATCCATATTGCTAATACCTTTCCACTCCTGTCAAGTCTAAACAAGGGGGTAGGGGCTAGGGGTTATTTCTGGAACATCCTGGGGGTAAAAGTAGAGGGGAGTGATGGTGCACAATCTTCAGAAAAGGGAGGACGAGGGGGGGGGGGGGGGGAGAAGAGGAGGCACAGCCGCCTCCCCAGACCCTCTAGTAAAATGATCCCTGGTTGATCAGCCCGAGTCAGTCACCTATGTGACCATGTCTCCCCTATCACGGGGGGAGGGGGGTGGGCCTCAGTCTCTACCTCTACCAATATTTATGGTGGAGCCTCGGTCTCTACCTCTACCAATATTTATGGTGGAGCCTCGGTCTCTACCAATATTTATGGTGGAGCCTCAGTCTCTACTTCTACCAATATTTATGGTGGAGCCTCAGTCTCTACCTCCGCTTTTGATTGTGGTTGGCTGCTCTTCCTGCCGATGCCTGGAGAGAGAAAGAGCCAGAGGAGTTGGGTTAGTATGGACGTGTCTCAGGGGCTCTTGACCATCCTCATGCAGCTGCATTCAGAGATGTGTAAATGACCAGTTAGCAGTGGAAATCTAGTTCTGTTCTCATTAAGTCTAATTAGCTGCATACCCATTCTAACTTAAGACCTGGGTTTCCTGATTAATGCATTTAGATAAGATAATCTAAATTAAAGCATGAGGCTAAATCTATTTGGCCGTAAATGGCTGTGATCTCACATCATGTCTCTATCCAAGTCAAAATATTTGTGATTCAATTACTGCTGCTGCTCAGGAGAGGCCGCCTGTTTGTTTGTTGGTGGCATCTCTGTGTGTGTTCTTATATAAAATGTATTACACAATTGTCTTAACCTCAGAAATGTGAGGTCTTGCATTTCTGTTTTAAAACGATGCGTGTTAATATTCACCACACTTCCTCAAGCAGATCATTAATATGCAGTGTTCTACATCTAGATACACAGTAATCAACCCAACGCCTGCACAACTCCCTCATCTCTCTGACAGGCTGAAAACTGGGGTTGGGAACACAACAGAAAAGGGTTTTCAAATGTTTTGCAACAGATAATGAAAATGAGCATTTCTTATTGGACCAGTCCAGGTGTGTGGCTTTTCTGACAAGGTTTACTTAGAGATGGGCCACAGCAGTATTGATATCAGTATTGATAATCCTTGGCACTCTGGTGTTCCTTAGCCAACTTTAGTCGTGTGAAAAAGAGACATAAAATGTAATAGTTGTATGGAGAGTGAGATAATTCTGCTTTGTGGAAGATTCTAGACCTCCGGTGATGTGGCTCATCTGACAAGCAACTTAGGACCTCCGCAACATGGGATGTTCCTTCCTGACATTCGAGATGAATCACAAGGAAATGTACTGATACATGGTGAGCTCTCACAATAATACCAATGAGACGGTATGTCTTCTCCAAATAAAACATCTTACATATGAACGAACTGAAGGTGTAGAGTCTGTGTTGAAAGAAATGCTTTGAGTGTTTTAAGCCTGTCTGAAGTGCGCCAGGCAAACTCAATCAAGCAAAGCTGAAATATTTGAAAGAAAATTACTATTTAAACCAATTCTGGATGGTTATAGCAGGGGGGAAATGTGTTGACATGTAGAGATGAGAGAGAGCCTCTCTGATGGATAGAGGCTGGGATCAGACAGTGGGTCTGGAGGGGAGGAGGGAAAGAGGAATGGAGGAGAGGAGGGAAATAGGAATGGAGGAAAGGAGGGAAATAGGAATGGAGGAGGGAAAGAGGAATGGTGGAGGGAAAGAGGAATGGAGGACAGGAGGGAAAGAGGAATGGAGGAGAGGAGGGAACGAGGAATGGAGGGGAGGAGGGAAAGAAGAATGGAGGAGAGGAGGGAAAGAGGAATGGAGGGGAGGAGGGAACGAGGAATGGAGGGGAGGAGGGGAACGAGGAATGGATGGGGAGGATGGGGGAACGAGGAATGGAGGGGAGGAGGGAACGAGGAATGGAGGGGAGGAGGGAACGAAGAATGGAAGAGAGGAGAGGAAGAGGAATGGAGGAGAGGAGGGAAAGAGGAATGGAGGAGAGGAGGGAAAGAGGAATGGAGGAGGGAGAGAGGTATGGAGGGGAGGAGGGAAAAGAGGAGGGAAAGAGGTATGGAGGGGAGGAGGGAAAAGAGGAGGGAAAGAGGTATGGAGGGGAGGAGGGAAAGCGGAATGGAGGGGAGGAGGGAAAGCGGAATGGAGGGGAGGAGAGAAAGGAATGAATGGAGGAGAGAGAGGAATGGAGGAGAGGAGGGAAAGAGGAGAGGAGAGAAAGAGAAATGAATGGAGGAGGGAAAGCGGAATGGAGGGGAGGAGGGAAAGCGGAATGGATGGGAGGAGGGAAAGCGGAATGGAGGGGAGGAGGGAAAGCGGAATGGAGGGGAGGAGGGAAAGCAGAATGGAGGGGAGGAGGGAAAGAGGAATGGAGGAGAGGAGGGAAAGAGGAATGGAGGAGAGGAGGGAAAGAGGAATGGAGGAGGAGGAGAGAGAGGAATGGAGGAGAGAGAGGAATGGAGGAGAGGAGGGAAAGAGGAGAGGAGAGAAAGAGGAATGAATGGAGGAGGGAAAGCGGAATGGAGAGGAGGGCAAGAGGAATGAATGGAGGAGAGGAAGAGGAATGAATGGAGGCGGGAAAGAGGAATGAATGGAGGCGGGAAGTGGTAGAGAAGCAATCCATCAAGGAGGAGATAAGAGGAGAGGAGAGGGTGGGCATGGATGCATGGAGAGTGTCAGGATAAATAGAAGGGCCTGCTACTCATTATCAGCCTTCATGACATGGCACACACAAGGAACATTGTCACTCATGCTAGAACATATATTTGAATACAACAGAAAGACACCCTTAGCCACAAACCATACTAAAAACACACAAGCTTGCTTATGTTGAAGCAAGCAAACCCTGTGTATTCCACATAGAGTGGTCCCCTTGTCAGTCCCTTCATCCAGCATGCTTCAGTATCCCAGAGGGAAATCCCAGTCACACTCCACAGCAAGTTAAGAGCCTCGGTCAACCCAGACTAGACCTTGGTTAAATATATAACTAAAATACTTTCAAATACGTTTAGGAGGAATGCTCAGCGTTTATACCTGCAGGGGTGAGCACCAGGGCCTGCAGGATGTCCGACAGGGACACGATGCCCACGATGCGGGCATTCTCCCCCACCACCACCAGCCTGTGGACCTGGGGATGAGAGAGGAGGAGAGAGGGGTGAAAGGAGGAAGAGGGGTGAAAGGAGGAGGAGGGGGGTTATGTTATTAGGCTACCATGTCAGACTGACGGAGAGATGTTATGTTATTAGGCTACCCATGTCCGACTGAAGGAGAGATGTTATGTTATTAGGCTACCATGTCTGACTGACAGGGAGAGTTATGTTAGTTAGGCTACCATGTCAGACTGACAGGGAGAGATGTTATGGTATTAGGCTACCCATGGTCAGACTGACAGGAGAGATGTTATGTTATTAGGCTACCCATGTCAGAATGACAGGAGAGATGTTATGTATTAGGCTACCATGTCAGACTGACAGGAGAGATGTTTATGTTATTAGGCTACCATGTCAGACTGACAGGAGAGATGTTATGTTATTAGGCTACCATGTCCAGACTGACAGGAGAGATGTTATGTTATTAGGCTACCATGTCAGACTGACAGGAGAGATGTTATGTTATTAGGCTACCATGTCAGACTGACAGGAGAGATGTTATGTTATTAGGCTACCATGTCAGACTGACAGGAGAGATGTTATGTTATTAGGCTACCATGTCAGACTGACAGGAGAGATGTTATGTTATTAGGCTTACCATGTCAGACTGACGGAGAGATGTTATGTTATTAGGCTACCATGTCAGACTGACGGAGAGATGTTATGTTATTAGGCTACCATGTCAGACTGACAGGAGAGATGTTATGTTATTAGGCTACCATGTCAGACTGACAGGAGAGATGTTATGTTATTAGGCTACCATGTCAGACGGACAGGAGAGATGTTATGTTATTAGGCTACCATGTCAGACTGACAGGAGAGATGTTATGTTATTAGGCTACCATGTCAGACTGACAGGAGAGATGTTATGTTATTAGGCTACCATGTCAGACTGACCGGAGAGATGTTATGTTATTAGGCTACCATGTCAGACTGACAGGAGAGATGTTATGTTATTAGGCTACCATGTCAGACTGACCGGAGAGATGTTATGTTATTAGGCTACCATGTCTGACTGACCGGAGAGATGTTATGTTATTAGGCTACCATGTCTGACTGACAGGAGAGATGTTATGTTATTAGGCTACCATGTCAGACTGACAGGAGAGATGTTATGTTATTAGGCTACCATGTCAGACTGACAGGAGATATGTTATGTTATTAGGCTACCATGTCAGACTGACCGGAGAGATGTTATGTTATTAGGCTACCATGTCAGACTGACAGGAGAGATGTTATGTTATTAGGCTACCATGTCAGACTGACAGGAGAGATGTTATGTTATTAGGCTACCATGTCAGACTGACAGGAGAGATGTTATGTTATTAGGCTACCATGTCAGACTGACAGGAGATATGTTATGTTATTAGGCTACCATGTCTGACTGACAGGAGAGATGTTATGTTATTAGGCTACCATGTCAGACTGACAGGAGAGATGTTATGTTATTAGGCTACCATGTCAGACTGACCGGAGAGATGTTATGTTATTAGGCTACCATGTCAGACTGACCGGAGAGATGTTATGTTATTAGGCTACCATGTCAGACTGACAGGAGAGATGTTATGTTATTAGGCTACCATGTCAGACTGACAGGAGAGATGTTATGTTATTAGGCTACCATGTCAGACTGACAGGAGAGATGTTATGTTATTAGGCTACCATGTCAGACTACCATGTCAGACTGACAGGAGAGATGTTATGTTATTAGGCTACCATGTCAGACGACAGGAGAGATGTTATGTTATTAGGCTACCATGTCAGACTGACAGGAGAGATGTTATGTTATTAGGCTACCATGTCAGACTGACAGGAGAGATGTTATGTTATTAGGCTACCATGTCAGACGGACAGGAGAGATGTTATGTTATTAGGCTACCATGTCTGAGGCTGTGACAGGAGACGGTTTTCAGGTCAGGTCAGGGGCGTGTGTCAATCTCACCTCTGCTTTGACTATCCTGTCCACGATGGTCTCCAGTGTCTCGAGCCGGTTGCACTTCATGACGCCCTCAAAGTACTGCGAGCGATGCCTCAGAGCCTGGGTCACTGTGATGTCCAGGTTGTTGTAGGTCTTCTCAGCAGCAAGGTTCTACACACAGCGAAGACAAACAACTAGTTGGTCCATCTCTGAATGTTCACCGTACACTTATGATAAGGAATATTCGTCAACAACAAATTAGTTAACTTCTTCAAAGGGTGTTCCATGAAGTGTTAAGAAAAGGGATTACTTACAATGACATCAAACTTGGAATAGATATCCACAACTTTCCCTGAAAAGAGCAAAACCAAAGAGATTCAGAATCCAACTTCACAAAAATCATACAACACCACAGACATATGCTCTGCCTGATGCACACACATACCCGACTCGTCCACCACTGGTAGTGCGGACACCCTCCGGTCCACAAAGATGTTGAGGGCCTTGATGATGGGTGTGTCAGGGTGGATGAAGGCGATGTTGTGGTAGGTGCCAATGGTCAGCTCCTCCAGGGTCTGCTTCATAAAGGCAGGCTTTGGCATCTCACACACCTAGGATATGTTCAGAAGCGAGATTTTTTGGGGGAAACGTTAGAAAACAGACTGAAACCAGGCAGCACTACCTGGACATGGCCAATGAGAAACACTCATTTTCTGTTCAGAAATGTTGCAAAAGTTTTTGTTGCGTGCCCTAATAAACACAACCCAGAGATAGGAGAGACAAGACATTTGAGTATCAACTAAACGGTTCACCTCCATTTGACCGTCTAATGTAGTGTGTCAGCTCAGTCTTTTTCTAGCAGTGTACCTGTCCCATTTGATATTGTCCATGTCGGTCTGTCCGGTTTATCTGTCCTTCTTGCAATATGCCCTTCTCATATTACTAATGAATGTGTGTATTTTTTCCAATCTGTCTCATATTCTCTCTGTCCGTCTTATATTCGGTCAGTATCTGTCCCTGTGTGTGCAGTCACCTCTGGTCTATCATTTCGTCTAACGCTGGACAGACGGATGTCCTTCGGTCAAGTGGGTTCATGTTTCCAAACGTCTTTCCTGCTGTCTATTTCATTATCCAGAGGTGGTTTACATTTCACACTCACTTCTACAGGTCAGACACCTTACATTTCGACAACACTGCTTCTCTAGCCAGCAGACTGCTACAGTGCTACCCTGTTAACACAGTCAATTCAGGAAATCGAACAAAATGGAATACAGTTCACAGGAATTCAAGGAATCCTCATTGGACTCCAACTCTCAAACCGATTAAATTAATTTAAATTAATCTCCTGTATTTAATGGATTTGAAACGGGTAACTACTTTGTATAGTCATCACACTCTCTCCTCTTGACTGGCGAGGTGGTCGTCCCAGGCAATCAGATAGATTCAACTAATCCTCTACTGAATCAGCCAAGGACAGCTCTCTAGGCTCTGTCTTCATCCTTTCATCACCCTGCCTTTGTACGTTTCCTTTGCCGCTCTCGTCAGATGGGGCGGCAGGTAGCCCAGCGATTAAGAGTGTTTGAATCCCCGAGCCGTCTAGGTGAAACATATGTCAATGTGCCCTTGAGCAAGGTACTTAACCCTAATTGCTCATGTTAGTCGCTCTGGATAAGAGCGTCTGCTAAATGACTAAAATGTCACTTTAACTCTACCCACATGTACATATTACCTCAACCACCTCAACTAGCCGGTGCCCCCCGCACATTGACTCTGCAACGGTACCCCCCTGTATATATAGCCTCCCTACTGTCACTTTATTTTACTTCTGCTCTTTTTTTCTCTCAACACTTTTTTTTGTTGTTGTTTTATTCTTACTTTTTTTTTTTTAAAATAAATGCACTGGGGTTAAGGGCTGTAAGTAAGCATTTCACTGTAATGTCTGCACCTGTTGTATTCGGCGCATGTGACCAATACAATTTGATTTGATTTGATTTTGATTTGATTTAAAATGTAAAAATTGAATCTTTAATTCTTTTGAAATCCAACAGGGGGCAGCATGCTCTTACATTCCCATCCACAGTGTGTGTATTTATATGAGAGCCCAGCGCTAGGCCTACTTACGAAGAGCTGGAGGAACTTGAGGATCCTCTTGTGCGTGAGGATATAAAGTGCGTTGCCGCTGACCGGGTCGAGGACGGGCAGCCGGTGGATCTTGTTCTTGATGAGCGAGTACACCGCGTCGAATATACTGAGAGAGAGGTTAAGATAGAAGATCAGGTTAAAATAACAGACAACTTGTTGTTGCCAATAAAGCACTGGAGACAGAGGGTGTTGATACATTGACTCTCTTCATCAGTCAATAGTCTCCATCTTTAAAACAGCACATGCCATGATGGGGTCTTCTCCAAAAGAACAGGTTCACTGTCTAGGTTCCCTTTTTAAGTGCAGTCATTCATCCTACTTAGTCAATCCGTTTGATGTTAAGAGCATAGAACAATAACAGTGAGTGTGCTGCAAGAGAGCTCTTCTATTGAATTAAAGTGATGGTGAATAGTTTGAGAGAAAAAGCATAGATTTACACTGAGTATACAAAACATTAAGAAGAGCTCTTTCCATGACAGACTGGCCAGGTGAAAGCTATGATTGCTTATTGATGTCACCTGTTAAATCCACTTTAAATCAGTGTATATGAAGGGAAGGAGACAGGTTAAAGAAGGATTTTTAAGCCTTGAGACAATTGAGACAGATTGTGTATGTGTGTCATTCAGAGGGTGAATGGGCAAGACAAAAGATTTAAGTGCCTTTGAACGGGGTATGGTAGTAGGTGCCAGGCGCACCAGTTTGAGTGTCAAGAACTGCAACGCTGCTGGGTTTCACACACACTCAACAGTTTCCCATGTGCATCAAGAATGGTCCAAAGGACATCCAGCCAACTTGACACAACTGTGGGAAGTATTGGAGTCAACATGAGCGAGCATCCCTGTGGAACGCTTTCTACACCTTGTAGTCCATGCCCTGACGAATTGAGGCTGTTCTGAGGGCCAAAGGGGGTGCAACTCAATGTTAGGAAGATGTTCCTAATGTTTGGTACACTCTGTGTATATCCTGAGGGTCTGACCATAACTAAACTGAGGTGAGTTTGCAGAAAGCCTCGTAGCTAACTTTGCACATTATTTCTCCGGACAACCCTGGCAGACAGCCGTGAAAAAGTAACAATTCTAAAACCGATGTTTGACAACCAATCTTCTGTGCGTGAACAAACAAATTAGTCAAATGAAGCAGTTTGCTGTGCGGTACTAAATGGGTCCAGGATGTAGAGAGTACAGTACAGTGTTGGCTACGAGGCTTTCGCCAAACTCACCCCCGTTTCATAACCCCATTTGTTTCTTTCACGTTTGCCCACTGACAAAGACATGATCAGTCTGTCATTTTAATGGTAGGTTTATTTGAACAGTGAGAGAGAATAACAAAACAATCCAGAAAAATGTAGCATGTAAAAAACATTAGAAATTGATTTGCATTTTAATGAGGGAAATAAGTATTTGACCCCTCTGCAAAACAGGACTTAGTACTTGGTGGCAAAACCCTTGTTGGCAATCACAGAGGTCAGACGTTTCTTGTAGTTGGCCACCAGGTTTGCACACATCTCAGGAGGGATTTTGTCCCACTCCTCTAGGCAGATCTTCTCCAAGTCATTAAGGTTTCGAGGCTGACGTTTGGCAACTCGAACCTTCAGCTCCCTCCACAGATTTTCTATGGGATTAAGGTCTGGAGACTGGCTAGGCCACTCCAGGACCTTAATATGCTTCTTCTTGAGCCACTCCTTTGTTGCCTTGGCCGTGTGTTTTGGGTCATTGTCATGCTGGAATACCCCATCCACGACCCATTTTCAATGCCCTGGCTGAGGGAAGGAGGTTCTCACCCAAGATTTGACGGTACATGGCTCCATCCATCGTTCCTTTGATGCAGTGAAGTTGTCCCCTTGGCAGAAAAACACCCCCAAAGCATAATGTTTCCACCTCCATGTTTGACGGTGGGGATGGTGTTCTTGGGGTCATAGGCAGCATTCCTCCTCCTCCAAACACGGCAAGTTGAGTTGATGCCAAAGAGCTCGATTTTGGTCTCATCTGACCACAACATTTTCACCCAGTTCTCCTCTGAATCATTCAGATGTTCATTGGCAAACTTCAGACGGGCCTGTATATGTGCTTTCTTGAGCAGGGGGACCTTGCGGGCGCTGCAAGATTTCAGTCCTTCACGGCGTAGTGTATTACCAATTGTTTTCTTGGTGACTATGGTCCCAGCTGCCTTGAGATCATTGACAAGATCCTCCCGTGTAGTTCTGGGCTGATTCCTCACCGTTCTCATGATCATTGCAACTCCACGAGGTGAGATCTTGCATGGAGCCCCAGGCCGAGGGAGATTGACTGTTCTTTTGTGTTTCTTCCATTTGCGAATAATAGCACCAACTGTTGTCACCTTCTCACCAAGCTGCTTGGCGATGGTCTTGTAGCCCATTCCAGCCTTGTGTAGGTCTACAATCTTGTCCTTGGAGAGCTCTTTGGTCTTGGCCATGGTGGAGAGTTTGGAATCTGATTGATTGATTGCTTCTGTGGACAGGTGTCTTTTATACAGGTAACAAGCTGAGATTAGGAGCACTCCCTTTAAGAGTGTGCTCCTAATCTCAGCTCGTTACCTGTATAAAAGACACCTGGGAGCCAGAAATCTTTCTGATTGAGAGGGGGTCAAATACTTATTTCCCTCATTAAAATGCAAATCAATTTCTAACATTCTTTACATGCATTTTTCTGGATTCTTTTGTTGTTATTCTGTCTCTCACTGTTCAAATAAACCTACCATTAAAATTATAGACTGATGATTTCTTTGTCAGTGGGCAAACGTACAAAATCAGCAGGGGATCAAATAAATGTTTCCCTCACTGTAGGAGTGAAATGCTACAGTACCTAACAGAGGCAGCATAAAACGTTAAGTGGACCTGATTGAGGCGGTAGGTAGCCTAGTGGTTAGAGAGATGAGCCAGCAACCGGAGAGTTGGCAGTTAGAATCCCGCGTCTGATGGGAAAAATCTGGCAGGAAGTGAGCTGGCAACTGGAGGGTTACTGGTATCAAATCCTAAATGCCTTGATCGCCCATTGTGGCAGCCCCCCGGCACCTCTCCAAAACTTGTATGTGTTTCTTTGTGAGGGGTTGGGTTAAAAGCAGAAGTCAAATTTCAGTTGGACATTATATGCAAATGACCAATAAAGTTATCTTAATCTTGATTCAGCAAAGGGCTGAAGCAAATTGACCAGATGATGTGCGCAAACAAAGCATCCATGCGTGTTAAACCAGGAACCATACAGGAAGTCATCAGAAACAAGGGGCTATCAAGGATGGCTAAGAGCATCTGCAATTTCTTTCTCTCTCCATCTCTCACCCTCTCTCTCGCTCTCTCCTTTCGCAAGCCTTAAAGCAAATACCCTAGAGTACATCAGAATACCTGGCCATGAAGAGAGCTGAATCAGTCATTAAGACCTGGCCATGAAGACAGCTGAATCAGTCATAAGACCTGGCCATTAAGAGAGCTGAATCAGTCATAAGACCTGGCCATTAAGAGAGCTGAATCAGTCATTAAGCAATTAAATGACGCTGGTGTTCAACCAAAAGGAGACAGAAAATGCCCATAACCAAACCAGAGGCTTGAGTTGGTTAACCTGGGATGATGCAGTAGTTGAGTAGTATTTTAAGTCTTTTCACGAGATGGACTTTCATTTATTCAGAGTGAGGAAAATAAACTATGCCCCCAATCGGAGAGCATGGGGAAAGGTGCAGAAATACGAGGGTAAAGTACCAGACCTTCCCCCAGGGGAAATGTAGGGAATGGATGGCAAATATAAAACTCTACCTGGGAGAGTGTATTGACAGTAAAATGAACCTATAACCTATTGAGTGTATGTGACCTGACTACCATACCCTATGGGAGAGTGTATGACAGTAAATGACTCTACCGTATAACCTATAGGGAAGTGTATTGACAGTAAATGACTACCCTAACCTATGGGTAGAGTGTATTGACAGGTAAATGACTCCCTATAAACCTAGGGGGAGAGTGTATTGACAGTAAATTACTCTACCTATAACCTATGGGAGAGTGTTTTACAGTAAATGACTCTACCTATATCCTATGGGAGAGTGTATTGACAGTAAATGACTCTACCTATAACCTATAGGGAGAGTGTATTGACAGTAAATTACTCTACCTATAACCTATGGGAGAGTGTATTGACAGTAAATTACTACCTATATCCTATGGGAGAGTGTATTGACAGTAAATGACTACCTATAACCTATAGGAGAGTGTATTGACAGTAAATGACTCTACCTATAACCTATGGGAGAGTGTATTGACAGTAAATGACTCTACCTATAACCTATAAATTCAAGCGGAGTGAGGAAGTGGGTTCCCGAGTGGCGCAGCGGTCTAAGGCACTGCATCTCAGTGTTTGAGGCGTCACTACAGACCCCCTGGTTCCATTCCAGGCTGTATCACAACCAGCCGTGATTGGGAGTCCCATAGGGCGGCGCACAAATCAAATCAAATTTTATTGGCCACATGCGCCGAATACAACAGGTGCAGACATTACAGTGAAATGCTTACTTACAGCCCTTAACCAACAGTGCATTTATTTTTAATAAAAAAAGTAGAATAAAACAAAAAAAGTGTTGAGAAAAAAAAGAGCAGAAGTAAAATAAAATAACAGTAGGGAGGCTATATATACAGGGGGGTACCGGTGCAGAGTCAATGTGCGGGGGCACCGGCTAGTTGAGGTAGTTGAAGTAATATGTACATGTGGGTAGAGTTAAAATGACTATGCATAAATAATTAACAGAGTAGCAGCAGCGTAAAAAGATGGGGTGGGGGCAGTGCAAATAGTCCGGGTAGCCATGATTAGCTGTTTAGGAGTCTTATGGTTTGGGGGTAGAAGCTGTTGAGAAGTCTTTTGGACCTAGACTTGGCACTCCGGTACCGCTTGCCGTGCGGTAGCAGAGAGAACAGTCTATGACTAGGGTGGCTGGAGTCTTTGACAATTTTGAGGGCCTTCTTCTGACACCGCCTGGTATAGAGGTCCTGGATGGCAGGAAGCTTGGCCCCAGTGATGTACTGGGCCGTACGCACTACCCTCTGTAGTGCCTTACGGTCAAAGGCCAAGCAGTTGCCTTACCAGGCGGTGATGCAACCAGTCAGGATGCTCTCTATGGTGCAGCTGTATAATTTTTTGAGGATCTGAGGACCCATGCCAAATCTTTTCAGTCTCCTGAGGGGGAATAGGCTTTGTCGTGCCCTCTTCACGACTGTCTTGGTGTGTTTGGACCATGATAGTTCGTTGGTGATGTGGACACCAAGGAACTTTAAACTCTCAACCTGTTCCACTACAGCCCCGTCAATGAGAATGGGGGCGTGCTCGGTCCTCTTTTTCCTGTAGTCCACAATCATCTCCTTTGTCTTGGTCACGTTGAGGGAGAGGTTGTTATCCTGGCACCACATGGCCAGGTCTCTGACCTCCTCCCTATAGGCTGTCTCATCGTTGTCGGTGATCAGGCCTACCACTGTTGTGTCGTCGGCAAACTTAATGATGGTGTTGGAGTCGTGCCTGGCCATGCAGTCATGGGTGAACAGGGAGTACAGGAGGGGACTGAGCACGCACCCCTGAGGGGCCCCCGTGTTGAGGATCAGCGTGGCAGATGTGTTGTTACCTACCCTTACCGCCTAGGGGCGGCCCGTCAGGAAGTCCAGGATCCAGTTGCAGAGGGAGGTGTTTAGTCCCAGGATCCTTAGCTTAGTGATGAGCTTTGAGGGCACTATGGTGTTGAATGCTAAGCTGTAGTCAATGAATAGCATTCTCACGTAGGTGTTCCTCTTGTCCAGGTGGGAAAGGGCAGTGTGGAGTGCAATAGAGATTGCATCATCTGTGGATCTGTTGGGGCGGTATGCAAATTGGAGTGGGTCTAGGGTTTCTGGGATAATGGTGTTGATGTGAGCCATGACCAGCCTTTCAAAGCACTTCATGGCTACAGACGTCAGTGCTACGGGTCGGTAGTCATTTAGGCAGGTTCTTAGTGTCCTTGGGCACAGTGACTATGGTGGTCTGTTTGAAACATGTTGGTATTACAGACTCAGTCAGAACATTTTGAAAATGTCAGTGAAGACACTTGCCAGTTGGTCAGCACATGCTTGGAGTACACGTCCTGGTAATCCTTCTGGCCCTGCGCCCTTGTGAATGTTGACCTGCATAAAAGTCTTACTCACATCGGCTACGGAGAGCGTGATCACATAATCATCCGGAACAGCTGGTGCTCTCATGCATGCTTCAGTGTTGCTTGCCTCGAAGCGAGCATAGAAGTGGTTTAGCTCGTCTGGAAGTCTTTTGTCACTGGGCAGCTCGCGGCTGTGCTTCCCTTTGTAGTCTGTAATAGTTTTCAAGCCCTGTCAGAGCCGGTGTAGTACGATTCAATCTTAGTCCTGTATTGACTCTTTGCCTGTTTGATGGTTCGACGGAGGGCATAAGATGAAAACTCTCTTAGTAAATAGTGTGGTCTACAGCTTATCATAAGATACTCTACCTCAGGCGAGCAAAACCTCGAGACTTCCTTAGTATTTGATTTTGTGCACCAGCTGTTGTTTATAAATTTACACAGACCGCCACCCCTTGTCTTACCGGAGTCAGCCGTTCTATCCTGCCGATGTAGCGTAAAGCCCGCTAGTTGTATGTTGTCCATGTCGTCGTTCAGCCACGACTCGGTGAAACATAAGATATTACAGTTTTTAATGTCCCGTTGGTAGGATAACCGTAATCTTAAGTTACCAATTTATTCTCAAATGATTGAAGATTGGCTAATAGGATTGATGGGAGCAGCAGTTTACTCGCTCGCCGTCGGATCCTTTCAAGGCACCCCGACCTACGTCCACGATATCTCCGTCTCTTCCTCATGCAAATGACGGGGATTTGGGCCTTGTCGGGTGTCTGTAGGATGTCCTTCGCGGCCGCGTCGTTGAATAAAAAATCTTCATCCAATACAAGGTGAGTAATCGCTGTCCTGATATCCAGAAGCTCTTTTTGGTTATAAGAGACGATGGCAGAAACATTATGTACAAAATAAATTACAAATAACGCAGAAAAACACACATAATAGTACAATTGGTTCGAGGGCTGTAAAACGGCAGCCTTCTTCTCCGGCGCCATTATTAATCAACAATTGGCCCAGCGTCGTCCGGGTTTGGCCGGTGTAGGCTGTCATTGTAAATAAGAATTTGTTCTTAACTGACTTGCCTAGTTAAATAAAGGCAAAATAAATAAATAAATATATATATATTTTACCGTGCTTATGACCATAGAATTTTATTTATATTATGTGGGGGAAAAAAGAGTGTAGGGCAAATTAGATTTCTCAATCAACTATGAGATGATTATGTATTGTTTGTATAAACAGACTGATTAAACCCAATGGAAGATCCTCTATGTAATAATGAGCAAAGAGCTCTGAATGGGTCACATACTGTAAGTCAATCATGAATGGATCATTACTATCCTATTCATGGATCTGCTGGTTCATTTTCCCCCATCATAACTTATTTAAACTACATAAAATAAAGACAAATAGGAAATGCAGGTGTCATGTATAACAGGATTACCTTGCATCAGGTGATATGTTCACTAACGGCTTAAACGTTTCTTGTAGGTAGAGCTCTACGTGACAGAAATAAAATTAAACACCACATCAACAAACTACAAAATACATGTATTTATTATTTGTTGAACAACTGATAAACATTTTGGTTTTGAAATGGGAAGGTTGCTGTAAAATAGTTGGAAAGTTCCCATACCTCTCCACGTTTCAATCTTATGTTCCTCCAGCTCATATATTTGTACCTAAAATAGACAGAACATTCAACTATTAGTGATATTTAACATTCATTCCATGATTTGAACGTGGCAGATATTATTACATTTGCAACGTTTTATTTTGTAAAAAGAAGAGTTTGATAGAATTAGTAACTTGATAAACAGAAAAATATATAAAATCACAGCAATTCCCTCTGGAGAAGAAGAAAAACACATAAGCTACATGTAAGTAAGTGCTGGCGTCATGAAAAATCAAACCAGTTCCCAAGAGGGCCTCAAATCAGGTCCACCTCAGCCCTCTCTGACGTAAAGCAAGACAGTTATGAGAACTGCTGTTAATAAATAACAACCACAGCACGAGGAGAGGACAGAGTAGCAGGTCCTCAATGATTTCATTACAGAAACAAAAAGGCATTTTCTACAGCACCCATGGCTACATTGAGCACATTAGACGATTATGAACAGCTGGGGACGTGCCATTTGCTAGGAAATGTGTGTTGAAGGACCTTTTTTCTTCTTCTGTAGAGTGGTTGCAGTGTTTCCCCTATATGCATTTAGCAATGGCGTACCGCCTGAGGCCTTTTCCAGTCTCCTGTAAACAACAGCTAAATCAATCATTAAATTACAGATCCAGGAGTGAGTGAACGTGGTGTGTGTGTTGGACAAATTCAAGGTTTTTGGCTATCCCACTCATCATAGTAAGGTGGGAAAATTCAGGTATCGTTCCAAAATGTGAAAGTTTTCCAGAAATCCCGGTTGAAGGACTCCGGATTTGTTGCATATTGAATCTTCCAACCGGGATTCCTGAAAAACCTGGAAATTTGGGGAAAGTTACCAGAATTTAGCAACTATATCTCTGAGTTAACTCTCTGTCTCAGCCAATTACAGAGGTACTGACTCCAGTTCTGCATGAATATACATGAATCTGATATGGAAGAATTAACGAACGCTTTCACTGCACTGGTTGTTCTCTTGACGATGGATTAACTCTAACAATAGGCATTAGGATAACAACAAACTATGTCACCGTCTCCTGGCCTAATAAATACCAATGTGTATTTGGGCCAGTGGAAATCCCAAGAGGGCTAGCCTCACTAGTTTGGCTCTCTGTGATGGGCGTAACATGTAGGTGGGACTACTCAGGTAACAATGGAACCACTGACAACACTTCCACTGAGTCAAATGAGATGATTGAGAGATTTTATTTTTCCTTTAAAAATTGTTTTTGTCAAATGTATTGTAAAATGCTATTTTGACCAGGCATATCTTGCAAAATACATTTTTACTTCTCAATGAGACCAACCTGGCAAAATAACAAATATGATAATACTGCACTCTGTCGTTATAGGGTTAAGCTGAGCTGTATTGGGGAGGACCCCTAGAAAACAGCCTACATGGAATTGGCTCTCATCACAGAACAGAGCAGCGCAGACACATACACACATACAGTGAGGGAAAAAAGTATTTGATCCCCTGCTGATTTTGTACGTTTGCCCACTGACAAAGACATGATCAGTCTATAATTTTAATGGTAGGTTTATTTGAACAGTCAGAGACAGAATAACAAAAAAAATATTCCAGAAAAACGCATGTCAAAAATGTTATAAATTTATTTGCATTTTAATGTGGGAAATAAGTATTTGACCCCTCTGCAAAACATGACTTTGTACTTGGTGGCAAAACCCTTGTTGGCAATCACAGAGGTCAGACGTTTCTTGTAGTTGGCCGCCAGGTTTGCACACATCTCAGGAGGGATTTTGTCCCACGCCTCTTTGCTGATCTTCTCCAAGTCATTAAGGTTTCGAGGCTGACGTTTGGCAACTCGAACCTTCAGCTCCCTCCACAGATTTTCTATGGGATTAAGATCTGGAGACTGGCTAGGCCACTCCAAGACCTTAATGTGCTTCTTCTTGAGCCACTCCTTTGTTGCCTTGGCCGTGTGTTTTGGGTCATTGTCATGCTGGCATACCCATCCACCACCCATTTTCAATGCCCTGGCTGAGGGAAGGAGGTTCTCACCCAAGATTTGACGGTACATGGCCCCGTCCATCGTCCCTTTGATGCGGTGAAGTTGTCCTCGCCCCTTAGCAGAAAAACACCCCCAAAGCATAATGTTTCCACCTCCATGTTTGACAGTGGGGATGGTGTTCTTGGGGTCATAGGCACCATTCCTCCTCCTCCAAACACGGCGAGTTAAGTTGATGCCAAAGAGCTCGATTTTGGTCTCATCTGACCACAACACTTTCACCCAGTTTACATTTACATTTTACATTTTAGTCATTTAGCAGACGCTCTTATCCAGAGCGACTTACAGTTAGTGCATACATTATTATTATTTTTTCATACTGGCCCCCCAGTTCTCCTCTGAATCATTCAGATGTTCATTGGCAAACTTCAGACGGGCCTGTATATGTGCTTACTTGAGCAGGGAGACCTTGCGGGCGCTGCAGGATTTCAGTCCTTCACGGCGTAGTGTGTTACCAATTGTTTTCTTGGTGACTATGGTCCCAGCTGCATTGAGATCATTGACAAGATCCTCCCGTGTAGTTCTGGGCTGATTCCTCACCGTTCTCATGATCATTGCAACTCCACGAGGTGAGATCTTGCATGGAGCCCCAGGCCGAGGGAGATTGACTGTTCTTTTGTGTTTCTTCCATTTGCGAATAATTGCACCAACTGTTGTCACCTTCTCACCAAGCTGCTTGGCGATGGTCTTGTAGCCCATTCCAGACTTGTGTAGGTCTACAATCTTGTCCCTGACATCCTCGGAGAGCTCTTTGGTCTTGGCCATGGTGGAGTTTGGAATCTGACTGATTGATTGCTTCTGTGGACAGGTCTTTTATACAGGAAACAAGCTGAGATTAGAAGCACTCCCTTTAAGAGTGTGCTCCTAATCTTAGCTCGTTACCTGTATAAAAGACACCTGGGAGCCAGGAATCTTTCTGATTGAGAGGGGGTCAAATACTTATTTCCCTCATTAAAATGCAAATCAATTTATAACATTTTTGACATGCGTTTTTCTGGATTGTTTTGTTGTTATTCTGTCTCTCACTGTTCAAATAAACCTACCATTAAAATTATAGACTGATCATTTCTTTGTCAGTGGGCAAACGTACAAAATCAGCAGGGGATCAAATACTTTTTTCCCTCACTGTATATACATACACACTCCAGCCTACTGTAGTCTGCTGCTGGCACATCTGCTGTGGTGAGTGTGAGTGAGTTCAGTGTGTGCGCTATACTTAGCAATAAGGCCCGAGGGGGTGTGGTTTTTGGCCAATATACCACAAACCCCCGAGGTGCCTTAATTCTATTATAAACTGGTTACCAACATAAATAAAACAGTAAACAAGTATTTTTACATTATACCCATGGTATATTGTCTGATATAGCACGGCTTTCAGCCAATCAGCATCCAGGACCCAAACTACCCGGTTTATACTTGACTATAATCACTGTGTGTGTTTGTATGAGAGATGGAGTGTGGATGAGTCTATGTGAGATGTGTACAGAGCAAGGCAAGACTGTGTGTGTGTGTGTGTGTGTGTGTGTGTGTAAGCCCTGGGTCAGAACAGAGAGACAGTGCTGCAGCACCACCATCTTCTCATGACTAGAGCTGTGGCGGTCATGAAATTGTGTCAGCCGGTGATTTTCAAGCAAACATCTGCCGGTCTCACGATAATTGACCGGTAATTAACATAAACACATTTAGCGTCTCCTGGCTTCCACGCAAAGCCTACAAGCCACTGATGCAGACCTTTGGAACATCTAGATTTTAAAAAGTCTAATAAATCCATGTAATATAGCCTACACCATCACAATAAATCCATTATTTATTTTAGACAGGTCTAAAGAAATATGATATGAAGAAAATGTTATCCATTTCAGAAGAACAGAATAGCATACTCTGAGTTGTCCTTATGTTAGGCCCTGATCTGCCATATGGCTGTGGGCTACACTAGTTCATTTAGCAGACAAGATTTGCTTAGAATTCCATGGCATTATTTTATATTATTTTATAGTATGAAGAATACAATTGAACATAGCTGAATAAAATAGAAAGGATATTTTCTCCAAACGATTTCAGTGCACACATGCGGCTACTCTGTGTTGAGCAGTTAACAAAGAAACAGGTACTCCTATGTAACTTTAGTTGTGATACAAATGTTGGGCTATATGTTTTGATTTTTAATACATTGTAAGGCTGCATGATGCGACTAATGATAATTTGAAAAAAGTTGCATGAAAGGCATGAGCTCTGCTTTGTTTTTTGCGCAGGCTGTACACACTTCATCAGTCTCTCATTCACAATTTGACAAGTACTTGATAATGCCTCGAATTTCCCGGCAGCATCCCCTTTGTGTGGCCGTAACGCCCTCTAAAAGAAATGCCATGCCTTTTGCGGCCAGTGGCCATTGTACCCTTGGGCTGAATATAATAATCATAATTCCCTTCTCCCGGCTGTGTGCCAAAGCTCTCCATCACAGGCTACAAGTGAAGACGGACACATCGGGGATGCAACTGCGTGCGTCCTTATCCAATTCCGAGGTGCATGTTGAAGATATTGGAAGAACTGTCCCACATCTACTTTTCGTCAGCCAACAAGATGAGTAGGCCTAACGAACAGCAAAATCACCAGCCTATGTCAATCTACTATCCCCCATAGTACAAAAGTTGACCTATTCTATTCTGTGCGAGAAAAAAATATTCCAAACATTTTCTGGGACAGTTGTGGGATGCGATAGAGCCCAAATTAATTCAACCACTAGCATCAAAAAACCTGTTTTAAGCAATGAGCCTGACACAACAGATGAGAACGTTTAGCAGAAATGCGCACACGGCAGTACGCTATAAGTGCGAATGTTCCATTCTCAGGAAAAAACACCATTCTCAAAAGTGTCCACAAATTTGATTATGCATGTACTGCTTTTATTATAAAAGGTGCATTTTGATGGTGAAAATTATCTTCCCCAAACTTGAAACTCACGCGCTGCGTATGTATGCCAGTTAGGCACTACACCCGTTATAAAGCAGATTAATTTGAAAAAGTCGCCCAAAAAAGAGCATGTGCTGTTTCTTGCCTTATTACACACAAGCTGGGCATCATTCACAAGTGATAATATATCATTCACAAGTGATAGGCTAATATTGTCACCCATCACACTATTCTTGATTTAATCTTGTCTTTACATATACTAAATAATATATGTGTGAAATTTGTTTTGATTTAGAATGGACCATTATCATGCACCTGTCTCGAAACAGGGGCAGCAGAAAAAAAATACAAGTCACCTATGCACTTAAATAGCGAATGGAGGACGCTTTTCCTGTGGTTCATTTTCATGCCAGCCAGGTAGGCTATACTCCTGTTGTAAAGATAAGCAATGTGCTTAATATTAGGAAAGTTGAGAAATAAATATAGTAGGCCTAGCCTTTAGAAAGCTGATGGGATCCTCCTCTTTTTAATAGAGGCCATCACTCTGTTCTCCACGCAATTTCATAGCCTTTACAAATGTTGCGCAACATGAGCTCATGGGATCTAAAGTGTTTGATTCGATTTTTGATTACATTTGCATTGATGTCATAGTGATTAGAGGGACAATAGAGTGCTGAGTACCAGGCAGTTAGCAAGTTTGGTAGGCTACTAATGACCATCAGCAGCATCAGAAGCCTAATTACCGTGACTAACGGGTCACGTGCTATTTGACAGCCGCCATGACTCGTGACCGCCGTTGTGGCAGTAATACGGTCACCGTAACAGCCCTACTCATGACCTGATGATTAATGATGATGTCTCTCTCCACTCTGCCTTTAAAGCTCCATGACACAGAACATACAGTGCCTGAGATGGAGGCTGGATAAGCTCCCAGCCTCCTACTATATCGCTGCAGTTCACAGTCAGTCCACGTCGCTGGCCTTGGTGACAATAGGAAGCCGAAGCCATACAGCCAAACCATTTCAAACCAGGGTCGTGTTCTGTAGTATGGACTGAATCAGGGAGGAACAACCTGGACTTCTTCAATGAGAAAGACTAATTTTGGTTTTCCATTGCTACACATCTTTTCCCATTCTTGCCATTGCAAGCCCCAGTGAACACAACACAGGACCCATTTGGATCTGTTTGATGAGAGGTCACGTACCATGGGAGACTTGTAGTATCTGTGGAGGATGTTGATGAAGTCTGTGATGGTTAACATTCCTGGAAAAAGAGAGAGCGAGAGCGAGGGATGAGGGAGAGCGAGAGAGAGCAAGGGATGAGAGAGAGAGCGAGCAAGGGATGGAGGGTGAGAGTGCGAGCGAGGGATGGAGGGTGAGAGAGGGATGGAGGGTGAGAGAGAGGGAGAGAGGGATGGAGGGTGAGAGAGAGGGAGCGAGGGATGGAGGGCACAAAAGAGGGATGAGGGAGGGCGCGAGAGAGGGATGGAGGCCGCGAAAGAGGGATGGAGGGCGCAAAAGAGGGATGGAGGGCGCGAGACAGCGAGCGAGGGATGGAGGGCGCGAAAGAGGCATGAGGGAGAGAGAGGGATGAGGGAGAGAGGGATGGAGGGCGCGAGCGAGGGATGGAGGGCGCGAAAGAGGGAGAGAGTGTTGAGGGAGAGAGGATGGAGGGAGAGAGGGATGGAGGGAGAGAGAGGGATGGAGGGAGAGAGAGGGATGGAGGGAGAGAGAGGGATGGAGGGAGAGAGGGATGGAGGGCGCGAGCGAGGGATGGAGGGCGCGAAAGAGGGAGAGAGTGTTGAGGGAGAGAGGATGGAGGGAGAGAGAGGGATGGAGGGAGAGAGAGGGATGGAGGGGCGCGAGAGAGCGAGCAAGGGATGGAGGGCGCGAGAGAGGGATGAGGGAGAGAGGAGAGAGGGATGAGGGAGAGAGAGGATGAGATGAGAAGAAAGCATAAGAGATGGAGGGATAGAGCAGGGGATGGAGAGGAGGGATGAAGAGGGATGAGGGAGGAGCAGAGGGAATAGAGAGAGGGGGGGAGGGATGGGGAGAGCGGGGGATGGAGGAGCGAGAGGCGATGGAGGGAAGGAGGAGGGGTGAGGGGAAGGAGGCGGGCAGGGCTGGGGGAGGAGAGCATGGGATGATGAGAGAGAGGGAAGGGAGAGGAGAAGAATGAATACGGGGGTGGATGGGAGGGGGGTTTTTGGGGGGAGAATTGGGTGGTGGGGGTGGGCGAGGGTGGGGCGGCGGAGGAGGGGAGAGAGGAGGGGATGAGGGGGAGGTGGGTGGAGGGATTGTTGGAGAGATGAGGGATCGAAGGTGAGGGGGCGGGGTCGGAGGGAACCATGCCTTCTTTTGCTTCGCACCTCCTTTGCTTTCTGTTTTTCCGTATGGAGTGAGCGAGGGGGGGAGGAGGGTAAGGAAGGAAAGAAAAAGCCTTGTTCAGTGATCGTTCACATCACAGGTGTTGGATTTGTCCTAGCACATACACTCACTAGTACGGACAGAGGGAGACAGAGGAAAGTATTGCAAAGAAGAAGAGAGGAGCAGCGGAGAGGGAGGTAGAACAGAAGAGACACTTGGGAGAAACGAGTGACCAAGGAGAAAAAGAGATGGACCTATTTCTGTGACACTATTTCACACACACACTCCTCATTGACATCAGTATCTCCTAGGGATGAGACGGAACAGTGGAGCGGAACAGAGGGCTTGATTCTTAGTAAAGCCCATTTGTGCGTCTCGCGCTCTCAGACAAGTGGGCTTGATTCTTGATGCGTGGGAGGTTGCAGCGTCAGGTTCTACACTCACATCCTAGTGATGCAGCTGGGACAGCTACACAAGACTGGTGTCACCTAACCATAGCTATATTGTTCAACGTATCCTTGATTTAATTGTTGAAAAACATACAATGCATTCAGAAAGTATTCAGGCCCATTGACTTTTCCCACTTTGTTACGTTACAGCCTTATTCTAAAATCGATTAAATCTTTTTTCCCCCCCCCTCAATCTACACACAATACCCCATAATGACAAAGCAAAAACAGGTTTTTAGAAATGTTTGCAAATTAATACAATAAAAAAACGGAAATATTAAATGTACATAATATTCAGTACCTTGTTGAAGCACCTTTGGCAGCATTACAGCCTCAAGACCTTGTGGGACCTTAAATAGACAGATGTGTGCCTTTCCAAATCATGTCCAATCAATTGAATTTACCACAGGTGAACTCCAATCAAGTTGTAGAAACATCAAGGATGATCAATGGAAACAGGATGCACCGTAGTTCAATTTCGAGTCTCGTAGCAAAAGGGTCTGAATACTTATCTAAATAAAGTTTGTTTTTTATTTATTATAAATTCGCAAAAATTTATAAAAACCTGTTTTCGCTTTGTCATTATGGGATATTGTGTGTAGATTGATGAGGGGGAAATGATTTAATGCATTTAGAATAAGGCTGTACCGTAATGTGAAAAAAGTGAAGGGCTCTGAATACTTTCCGAATGCACTGTGTATAGAGCAATACAGTAAAAATACACTATTGCGTCTGTATTCCTGTTCTCAGAGCTGGCGAGAGAGGCGAGAACAGTATTTATATCTGTCTCCATTATGCTGGCCCAGATACGAGGAGAGACGAGGAGCCCTCCGGTTTCAAGGGGAAGTGAGGGAACGAGAGGATGAGGAGTCAAAATGGAGGGAAGAGCCGACAGAAAGGATGGAGAGAAAGGAAGCAATGCATTGATTAAAGAAGGTTAAGGATGTGGAGGAGTGGATGGATGGAGAGAGAAGAATGTTAGAGCAGAGAGATGGAAAGAAAATAAATGTTCCACTTACCGACAAAGCTCTGCTTCTTTGTCTCCCATAGTGGGGCTGCCCGCACCCCGTTGGCAACCAAGGCAAAGAAAGCCTTCTTTACCTACAGGCGAGAAGTACACAAACAATGTATTTACAAGACTTTCTAAACAGGTATTTTATAATGTGGGTGGAATAGAGCAGCGTTTTTCACCTTTGGTCTCTTGCGGTGACCGTATTACCGCCAAACCAGTAGTCATGAGTCATGGTCACAGTAATCTCCTCTTATGGACTCTGGACATGCTTGGTTGTACCCAACTCGCTAACGGCCTGGTACTCAGGGATCTATTGTCCCTCTAACGTCAATATAAATGCCATCGAAAATCACAAACACTTATCAAAGTAGTATCTTGCTTTTAAAATTCACCTTCATGTGATTGATCAATTTGAAGAAAGAAATTCAACAGGTTGAAACAGTGGAAAGCAAGGTCATTGTGGATATTGTTTCAAAGCCTAACATCGAAATGGACAGCGCTTTCTAAGGTGATTATTAATTCTAAACACCCATACACATTAGAGCTTATGCATACAATATATGAGCCCAAGCCCGAAAAAATACCCTGAATTAAAATAATGATTGTGCTGTTATACATTGCCTACCGCATATTACGCACTGCAAAAAATAAAAAAAATTAACTAACTGATTTACGATGTCTTTGGTACATAATTGGTCTAGCCTATACTCCAGAATTAAACAAATTCTAGTAAATCGCCTTTGAGTGTGGACTGTACTATTATGCATGGATGTACTACGCTCCAAACTTTCTATCCATGAGTCTTGAAGATAATATATAGGCCAAAGTGATGCTGTTGCTTCATTGATTGTGCAGGGTGGCTTACAGTTAGCCTACAATTATAGTGAATTTGTATTTGAATAGCCTAGTATTAGGGCATTTTTTATATTTTCATAATTAATAGGCTGACATCTCCTCCCCTCTCCCCTTCATTCCTTTCTCAAACGCACAGAGAGAGGGGCTGTCAACAGTTTAAATATGTTTAATTGTGAAAACATGTTACTATCAATGTTCCCGAACACATTTCACTTGGTTTTAAAGCACTGGGTAGCTGCAGGAACAGTGTTGGCGAGCCCAGGCATACAACGTTTGGGCGGAATATCACCCATCACGCAGTGAGAGGGTGCATGTTCTTCAAACAGTAATTGATGCATGGAGTTAAATAACCGGAGTTGCATGATTGAGAAACTAAACTTTGGGAAAGCGGCCTCCATTGGCTATTCATTTGAGTGCATATGGATTACATGTATTTTTTCCCTTGCCCCTGTTCCTGCCAATTTGATAAATGGGCCATTCTAAATTGAAAGTAACAGATGCATATCTGTATTCCCATTCATGCGAAATCCATAGATTAGGGCCTAATTTAATTATTTCAATTGACTGATTTCCTTATATGAATTGTAACTCAGTAAAATCTTAGAAATTGGTGCATGTTGCATTTATATTTTTGTTCAGTGTAAGTGGAATAATACTCATTGTGTGCAATAAATGTTTATTTAACATGATTTTTGAATGACTACCTCATCTCTGTACCCCACACATACAATTATCTGTAAGGTCCCTCAGTCGAGCAGTGAATTTCAAACAGATTCAATCAAAGACCAGGGTTTTTTCCAATGCCTCGCAAAAAAGGCCACCCATTGGTAGACGGGTAATAAAAAATATTTAAAAAAAGCAGACATTGAATATCTTTCAGCATGGTGAAGTTATTAAATACATTTTGGATGGTGTATCAATTTACCCAGCCACTACAAAGATAAAGCATCCATCCTAACTCAGTTGCCGGAGAGGAAGGAAACCAGTCAGGGATTTCACCATGAGGCCAATGGTGACTTAAACAGTTAGGGTATTAAGCCCACATACCAATTAAGCCCACTTCCATCTATGGATTTAGCAGAAAATGTTTCTTTTTTCCTTTATCTAATGTTTCAACCAGTGCATGTGGTTGTTGAATCCATACCAGTTTTCTAAGCCAATCAGATTTTGTATTATTCAGTTATTGACAGTTGTGTAAGTTCCTACTAGTGGCCAATGGCAAAGCTGCAAAAACTTGTGTGGAGGCGACTCAGATATTTTTAGTACCTTCTCAGATAAGTAATCATACTTCACGTAAAATTAAGATAGTCATGAATGGATATGTGCACATGATAAAATACTACATTGGTATTAATTACAATTTCTTGCCAATTGAAAATATGGGTTTTTCATGCTAGCAGTCGTACCACATGACAGCCAGTACAGTAGCAACACAACTTGCTGAACCACAACAATAATAGATATCAAGCATTAACTTTTTTTATTGCATTTTGTCTTATTTTACTGTTAAATGAACCTTGTATTGTTATACAGATGCCTTTTTTGTAAATTTGAGACATTTATCTCAGGTAGGCTTAAAGGTTACAGTAGCACAAAAAGCCCCTCTATACACATTCGTAAAGAATTCAGACCCCTTGACATTTTCCAAATTTTGTTTATGTTACAGCCTTATTCTATAATGGATGAAATAAAACAATATCCTCAGCAATCTACACACAACACCACATAATGACAAATCGAAAACAGATTTCTAGAAATGTTGTGCATATTTATTAAAAACAAAAAACAGAAATACCTTATTTATATAAGTACCCAAACCCTTTGCAATGACTCAAAATGATTGATCATCCTTGAGATGTTTCTGCAACTTGGAGTGCACCTGTGGTAAATTCAATTGATTGGACATTATTTGGAAAGGCACACACCTAAAAACACCCTAAGACTTTCAGACCAGGAGAAACAAGATTATCTTGTCTGATGAAACCAAGATTGAACTATTTGGCCTGAATGCCAAGTGTCACGTCTGGAGGAAACCTGGCAAAATCCCTACGGTGAAGCATGGTGGTGGCAGCATCATGCTGTGGGGATGTTTTTCAGCGGCAGGGACTGGGAGACTAGTCAGGATCGAGGCAAAGATGAACGGAGCAAAGTACAGAGAGATCCTTGATAAAAACCTGCTCCAGAGCGCTCAGGACCTCAGACTGTGGCAAAGGTTCACCTTCCAACAGGACAACGACCCTAAGCACAAATCCAAGACAATGCAGGAGTGGCTTCGGGACAAGTCTCTGAATGTCCTTGAGTGGCCCAGCCAGAGCCCGGACGTGAGCCCGATCGAACATCTCTGGAGAGACCTGAAAATAGCTGTGTAGCAACGCTCCCCATCCAACCTGACAGAGCTTGTGAGGATCTGTAGAGAAGAATGGGAGAAACTCCCCAAGCTTGTAACGTCATACCCAAGAAGACTCAAGGCTGTATTCTCTGCCAAAAGGTGCTTCAACAAAGTACTGAGTAAAGGGTCTGAATAATTATGTAAATATAAAAACCAGTTTTTGCTTTGTCATTATGGGGTATTGTGTGGAGATTGATGAGGGGGGAAAAAACGATTTAACACACTTTTGAATAAGGCTGTAACCTAACAAAATGTGGAAAAACTCAAGGGGTCTGAATACTTTCCGAAGGCACTGTAAATGGTAATAAATAAATATTGTTCAATATACCCCAGACCATTGGTTTCCAAATATTTTGAGAGTAAAATTCTATCTTTTTACTATAATTAATTGTTGTTCCAATTAAGCCCAGTATGGTCCTATTAAGCCCGGTTTGCATGAAACACATAGGGATTGTGTTGATATCCCGAATATTAAATGAATCTGAGCATAAATATGTTTTTTCTTAAGATTTAAGTGGATTAAAATACTCAAACTAGGGTTATGTATATTATGCATGTGGTCCTGTGTGGCTCAGTCAGAGCATGGTGCTAGTAACATCAAGGATTGTGGGTTCCATTCCCGCTGGGGCCACCCAATGTATGCATGCATGACTAAATCGCTTTGGATAAAAGTTTCTGCTAAATGACATATATACATATATATACACACACACACACACACACACACACACACACACACACACACACAGTGAGGGAAAAAAGTATTTGATCCCCTGCTGATTTTGTACATTTGCCCACTGACAAAGAAATTATCAGTCTATAATTTTAATGGTAGGTTTATTTGAACAGTGAGAGGCAGAATAACAACAACAAAAATCTAGAAAAACGAATGTCAAAAATGTTATAAATTGATTTGCATTTTAAATGAGGGAAATAAGTATTTGACCCCCTCTCAATCAGAAAGATTTCTGGCTCCCAGGTGTCTTTTATACAGGTAACGAGCTGAGATTAGGAGCACACTCTTAAAGGGAGTGCTCCTAATCTCAGTTTGTTACCTGTATAAAAGACACCTGTCCACAGTAGCAATCAATCAGATTCCAAACTCTCCACCATGGCCAAGACCAAAGAGCTCTCCAAGGACAAGATTGTAGACCTACACAAGGCTGGAATGGGCTACAAGACCATCGCCAAGCAGCTTGGTGAGAAGGTGACAACAGTTGATGCGATTATTCGGAAATGGAAGAAACACAAAAGAACTGTCAATTTCCCTCGGTCTGGGGCTCCATGCAAGATCTCACCTCGTGGAGTTGCAATGATCATGAGAACGGTGAGGAATCAGCCCAGAACTACACAGGAGGATATTGTCAATGATCTCAAGGCAGCTGGGACCATAGTCACCAAGAAAACAATTGGTAACACGCTATGCCGTGAAGGACTGAAATCCTGCAGCGCCCGCAAGGTCCCCCTGCTCAAGAAAGCACATATACAGGGCCGCCTGAAATTTGCCAATGAACATCTGAATGATTCAGAGGAGAACTGGGTGAAAGTGTTGTGGTCAGATGAGACCAAAATGGAGCTCTTTGGCATCAACTCAACTCGCCGTGTTTGGAGGAGGAGGAATGTTGCCTATGACCCCAAGAACACCATCCCCACCGTCAAACATGGAGGTGGAAACATTATGCTTTGAGGGTGTTTTTCTGCTATGGGGCCAGGACAACTTCACCGCATTACATTTTACATTACATTTTAGTCATTTAGCAGACGCTCTTATCCAGAGCGACTTACAGGTGCAATTAGGGTTAAGTGCCTTGCTCAAGGGCACATTTACGTCATTTAGCAGACGCTCTTATCCAGAGCGACTACTAATTGGTGCATTCACCCTATAGCCAGTGGGATAACCACTTTACAATTATAATATTTTTTTTTTTTTGGGGGGGGGGGGGGGGGGGTAGAAGGATTACTTTATCCTATCCCAGGTGTTCCTTAAAGAGGTGGGGTTTCAAATGTCTCCGGAAGGTGGTGAGTAACTCCGCTGTCCTGGCGTCGTGAGGGACGATGGACGGGGCCATGTACCGTAAAATCTTGGGTGAGAACCTCCTTCCCTCAGCCAGGGCATTGAAAATGGGTCGTGGATGGGTATTCCAGCATGGCAATGACCCAAAACACATGGCCAAGGCAACAAAGGAGTGGCTCAAGAAGAAGCACATTAAGGTCCTGGAGTGGCCTAGCCAGTCTCCAGACCTTAATCCCATAGAAAATCTGTGGAGGGAGCTGAAGGTTCGAGTTGCCAAACGTCAGCCTCAAAACCTTAATGACTTGGAGAAGATCTGCAAAGAGGAGTGGAACAAAATCCCTCCTGAGATGTGTGCAAACCTGGTGGCCAACTACAAGAATCGTCTGACCTCTGTGATTGCCAACAAGGGCTTTGCCACCAAGTCATGTTTTGCAGAGGGGTCAAATACTTATTTCCCTCATTAAAATGCAAATCAATTTATAAAATTTTTGACATGCATTTTTCTGGATTTATTTGTTGTTATTCTGTCTCTCACTGTTCAAATAAACATACCATTAAAATTATAGACTGATCATGTCTTTGTCAGTGGGCAAACGTACAAAAGTCAGCAGGGGATCAAATACTTTTTTCCCTCACTGTACCTGGCAAAAATGCTAACCTCCCGTTATTGTAATGGTGAGTGGTTAGCATGTCTTGGGGGTATGATATTTGTGTATCTGTAACTCTGTGTCCAGGCAGCGCACAGCTTTCGGGCAGGCTAAACAACTGCTACGGGACCATCCAGGTGTCAAGCACTGACTGCGATTCCCGGCCCGCCTGTGGCTTTCTCATGATGGAAAAGACTACACCTTTGACTCTCCGGAGGCAGCTATGGCTCACATTCAATGCCACATCAAGAAGTCTTGAACTTATTAATAGATCCGCAACTGTGGCTTGCTAACTTTGGATAGTAAGTAAGTAACCTACCTGTGGTATAACTGTGTATAGTTCGGAAGTAGGCACACCAACTCAGGCTTATTTGATGTGATTGAATGGTTTGATCATCAGCCTTATAAGCTTCAGTCACTTTTATTTTGTTTTATTAAGGGTTTACGTAATTCCTTTGTTTACATACTGTCTCATTGACCTATTGACTTTGTTTACATAGTCTCGTTGACCTAAAAATATTTTGTGTTATTTGCTTACCGTGTCCGTTTGTCTCGACCCAGTAAACAGTAAACAGTAAAATGTGCCGAGGGCTTCAAATTTTTTTAGATATTATAATTTTTTGCTTCATTCACTATGTGACTATGGGTTTGGTTAACACAGCCACTCATAGCCATACTGTGCGAAGAAAACATGTTCTATTCAGGCTTGTATCTCATTTGGGGAGGTATTCACAGGGGTGGGGGGAGGGGGAGATTGAACTGTTTAGTTCTAATGTTGTTATTCCGTCGTCTTTTCAGTTTCTTTTCCCATACTTTTCTCAAGTATCTTTCACCCTACAATATTACTCTGAGAAGTTATCCTGGGGTTTTTGGGTATGCATTGCTTTTTCACTCTTTGCTCTAATGACAGGGGTGTATAACGTGGGTGCTCAGGGTGGCCAAAATAATACCATCAAGTACAGTCGTGGTCAAAAGTTTGAGAATGACACAAGTATTGGTCTTCACAAAGTTTGCTGCTTCAGTGTATGTATATATGTATACAGTGGGGGAAAAAAATATTTAGTCAGCCACCAATTGTGCATGTTCTCCCACTTAAAAAGATGAGAGAGGCCTGTAATTTTCATCATAGGTACACGTCAACTATGACAGACAAAATGAGGAAAAAAAATCCAGAAAATCACATTGTAGGATTTTTTATGAATTTATTTGCAAATGATGGTGGAAAATAAGTATTTGGTCAATAACAAAAGTTTCTCAATACTTTGTTATATACCCTTTGTTGGCAATGACACAGGTCAAACGTTTTCTGTAAGTCTTCACAAGGTTTTCACACACTGTTGCAGATATTTTGGCCCATTCCTCCATGCAGATCTCCTCTAAAGCAGTGATGTTTTGGGGCTGTCGCTGGGCAACACGGACTTTCAACTCCCTCCAAAGATTTTCTATGGCGTTGAGATCTGGAGACTGGCTAGGCCACTCCAGGACCTTGAAATGCTTCTTACGAAGCCACTCCTTCGTTTCCCAGGCGGTGTGTTTGGGATCATTGTCATGCTGAAAGACCCAGCCACGTTTCATCTTCAATGCCCTTGCTGATGGAAGGAGGTTTTCACTCAAAATCTCACGATACATGGCCCCATTCATTCTTTCCTTTACACGGATCAGTCGTCCTGGTCCCTTTGCAGAAAAACAGCCACAAAACATGATGTTTCCACCCCCATGCTTCACAGTAGGTATGGTGTTCTTTGGATGCAACTCAGCATTCTTTGTCCTCCAAACACGACGAGTTGAGTTTTTACCAAAAAGTTATATTTTGGGTTCATCTGACCATATGACATTCTCCCAATCCTCTTCTGGATCATCCAAATGCACTCTAGCAAACTTCAGACGGGCCTGGACATGTACTGGCTTAAGCAGGGGGACACGTCTTGCACTGCAGGATTTGAGTCCCTGGCGGCGTAGTGTGTTACTGATGGTAGGTTGTGTTACTTTGGTCCCAGCTCTCTGCAGGTCATTCACTAGGTCCCCACATGTGGTTCTGGGATTTTTGCTCACCGTTCTTGTGATCATTTTGACCCCACAGGGTGAGATCTTGCGTGGAGCCCCAGATCGAAGGAGATTATCAGTGGTCTTTTATGTCTTCCATTTCCTAATAATTGCTCCCACAGTTGATTTCTTCAAACCAAGCTGCTTACCTATTGCAGATTCAGTCTTCCCAGCCTGGTGCAGGTCTACAATTTTGTTTCTGGTGTCCTTTGACAGCTCTTTGGTCTTGGCCATAGTGGAGTTTGGAGTGCGACTGTTTGAGGTTGTGGACAGGTGTCTTTTATACTGATAACAAGTTGAAACAGGTGCCATTAATACAGGTAACAAGTGGAGGACAGAGGAGCCTCTTAAAGAAGAAGTTACAGGTCTGTGAGAGCCAGAAATCTTGCTTGTTTGTAAGTGACCAAATACTTATTTTCTACCAAAATTTGCAAATAAATTCACAAAAAATCCTACAATTTGATTTTCTGGAGAAAAAAAATCTCAATTTGTCTGTCACAGTTGACGTGTACCTATGATGAAAATTACAGGCCTCTCATCTTTTTAAGTGGGAGAACTTGCACAATTGGTGGCTGACTAAATACTTTTTTTCCCCACTGTGATATATATATATATATATATATATATATCAGATGTTACTATGGTATACTGAATAATAAAAGGCTTTTATTGACAATTACATTAAGTTTATGCAAATAGTCAATATTTGCAGTGTTGACCCTTCTTTTTCAAGACCTCTGCAATCCGCCCTGGCATGCTGTCAATTAACTTCTGGGTCACATCCTGACTGATGGCAGCCCATTCTTGCATAATCAATGCTTGGAGTTTGTCAGAATTTGTGGGTTTTTGTTTGTCCACCCGCCTCTTGAGGATTGACCACAAGTTCTCAATGGGGAGTTTCCTGGCCATGGACCCAAAATGTCAATGTTTTGTTCCCCGAGCCACTTAGTTATCACTTTTACCTCATGGCAAGGTGCTCCATCATGCTGGAAAAGGCATTGTTCGTCACCAAACTGTTCTTGGATGGTTGGGAGAAATTGCTCTCGGAGGATGTGTTGGTACCATTCTTTATTCATGGCTGTGTTCTTAGGCAAAATTGTGAGTGAGCCCACTCCCTTGGCTGAGAAGCAACCCCACACATGAATGGTCTCAGGATGCTTTACTGTTGGCTGGTAGCGCTCACCTTGTCTTCTCCTGACAAGCTTTTTTCCGGATGCCCCAAACAATCGGAAAGGGGATTCAGAGAAAATGACTTTACCCCAGTCCTTAGCAGTCCAATCCCTGTACCTTTTGCAGAATATCAGTCTGTCCCTGATGTTTTTCCTGGAGAGAAGTTGCTTCCTCGCTGCCCTTCTTGACACCAGGCCATCCTCCAAAAGTCTTCGCCTCACTGTGCGTGCAGATGCACTCACACCTGCCTGCTGCCATTCCTGAGCAAGCTCTGCACCGGTGGTGCCCCGATCCCGCAGCTGAATCAACTTTAGGAGACGGTCCTGGCGCTTGCTGGACTTTCTTGGGCGCCCTGAAGCCTTCTTAACAACAATTGAACCTCTCTCCTTGATGTTCTTGATGATCCGATAAATGGTTGATTTGGGTGCAATCTTACTAGCAGCAATATCCTTGCCTGTGAAGCCCTTTTTGTGCAAAGCAATGATGACGGCACGTGTTTCCTTGCAGGTAACCATGGTTAACAGAGGAAGAACAATGATTTCAAGCACCACCCTCCTTTTAAAGTTTCCAGTCTGTTATTCTACCTCAATCAGCATGACAGAGTGATCTCCAGCCTTGTCCTCGTCAACACTCTCACCTGTGTTAATGAGAGAATCACTGACATGATGTCAGCTGGTCCTTTTGTGGCAGGGCTGAAATGCAGTGGAAATGTTTTTTTTGGTATTAAGTTCATTTTCATGGCAAAGAGGGACTTTGCAATTAATTGCAATTCATCTGATCACACTTCATAACATTCTGGAGCATATGCAAATTTCCATCATAAAAACTGAGGCAGCAGACTTTGTGAAAATTAATATTTGTGTCATTCTCAAAACTTCTGACTACGACTGTACATTTCATGGAACATCAAAGGGGCTAACAACCCTGTGAAACGTCAGAGGGTGCTGACACATTTAAAGGGTTTGAATGCAAATGTTGTGTTTCTACAGGAGACTCACTTGAGGACATGTAAACACTTAAGGTTTTCTACACCTCTTGTTTTGGCTAGTGTTTATGCCCCCAATTGGGATGACAAGTTTAATTTCTACCTTTTTATCCGCTCGACCCAGTTTAGATTGCCATTCGCTGATTTTAGGGGATGATATCAACTGTACAATGTCCCCAGTTCTTGACAAGTCACCACAAAGAACTACTGGCCCATCTAAATGTGCCCTACTTATTCAATCTTTTCTTCAGAAATATGCTGTGTGTGAGGCTTGGCGTTTCCTACACCCTACAGATACAGTATTCTTTTTTTTCTCATGTTCACCAAACATACTTCCACATTGATTTCTTATTTATTAACAAAAACTAACTTTAGCCTAACCTCCAGAGGTGTACTTATTTTTATATCTGACCATTCCCCATTAGTGCTTGAGCTTCCCCAGAAGCCTCCTATACATTACCAATGGTGTTTTGTCAAGTTCATTTCTCCTGAAATCACCTTGTTCCTAGGTAAAGTATGTCCTGCTGTTCCATATGGGAGTCCCTCAAAGCATTCCTACGTGGCCAAATTATTTCAGAGCCAACAAAAACAAAGCTCGCTCTGAGCGGCTTCGAGACCTGAGCAAACCCATAGCTACATTAGATGAAAAGTATGCTACAGATCCTTCCTCTGATCTATATAAAAGAATGCCAGCTACTCCAATCTGAATTTGACAAGCTCTCTACCAGACAAGCTGAACAATTACTCTTACAAGCCTGAGTGTATGAGCAAGGCGACAAGGATAGTAAACTCCTTGCACATCAGATCCGTAAATCTGAGGCCTCGCATTTAATCCCACAAATAAGGACCCTGCCTGGTGCTACCACGGTAACATAAAGAGATCAATTATCAATTCAATTTGTTTTACTCTGCACTATACACCTCTGAATCTCCTCACAATCCTTTGTTGATTGATTAGTTCTTTGATGTCTGAATATGCCTTCAATTGATACAGACTCATGACGGTTTAGAAGAAGAATTTAAAACCTGAGGAGATAGCAACTGCAGTGTCCGCAATGAAAAGCGGTAAATCAATGGGTCCGGATGGCTTTCCTAACAAATTTTCCAGTCTGCTTTGCCCATTCCTGTCTCAATTATTTGCAGAGCGCCTTGATACATCAAAGCTACCACCTAGTCTGTACCAGGCTTCAATTTAATTACTAATTAAGAAAAACAAAGACCCCTGGAATGTGGATCTTATCGCCCAATCTCGCTTTTAAATTGGGATTACAAGATCCTAGCCAAGCTCTTAACCACCCGTATGGAGGGCTCGCTGCACCAAGTAATACACTCTGACCGGACTGGCTTTGTAAGAAATAGGCATTTGTTTTTCAATATCAGACGCCTTAAGAATGTACTGTACTCCCCAGCATCGGGGGACCCGGAGGTGGTCTCGCTCGATGCGGAAAAAACTTTCATAGATTTGGCTTCGGGTCCCAAATTAACTGAGAGGAAAAATATTATTATTTCAATCCCATGGCTTCGGTACAGACTAACAACTTGTCCTGTGATTATTTTCCCTTACACCGTGGACCTAGACAGGGGTGTCCACTCTCCACCTTGTTGTTTGCTTTGGCAATCGAGCCACTCGCCGTCGCACTGCGCTCTAAAGATGCTATTCAAAGTATACTCTGAGCGGGGTTAAAGCAGAAAGTCTCGCTCTATATGCAGACAACCTCCTTTTATTAATCTCCAACCCAGATACCTCATTACCACATGTCTTATCTAATCGTAAGCAATTTGGAACAATCTCAGGGTACAAGCTGAATCTAGGCAAGCTTGAACTTTTTCCTGTAAATCAGGCTGCTTTAAAGTGCTCTTTTACAAGCTTTCAGTTTAGGGTTGTCCGGGATCAATTCACCTACTTGGGAGTTAAAGTGACAAGGAAATATTCAAATTTGTTTAAGGCAGACATTGTTGCTTTAGCAGATTGTTTGAAACAGTATTTTACTTTATGGAAGCCTACATCTTTCTCTTATTGGAAGGGTTAATGCCATTAAAATGAATGTGTTGCCCAAATTTTTATAGTTACTTCAATGTTGACCAATTTTTATTGCAAAAACCTTTTAACACTAGAAGCACTAAAGCTGTCATTTTGACTGTGGCTGTTTTTTTTGTGCCATTTTTTAAGTCATGCCCCCCTCCGTCCTTGACTTTTTCTAAATAAGTCTACATAACACACTATGTCAGAATCTTAATATCACAAACAGAACTGGAGTTATAACCAGTTTTAGGAGTGCATGTCATTTGTTTTTATGGTTTTGCCCCCATTGCCCCTCTTCCTCACAACAGTAGGGCCAGCTCTGATCCTTCTTCAGACAGTTGAAAGTGCAGCGCTCAGCTGATAATCACCCCGATAATTGTCTCGAAACTTAAACTAATTTCCCACATAAGATTAAATAAAGTAAGTAGAGTATGATGGGGAGAAAGGGGGAGAATGGATGAGTTGATGAGCGAGGGGAAGCAAACGATGCATAATTATGTAATCACCAAATGTGTTTGAAGAACAAGGTGGGCCATTCTATTGTATTGATCCATTCTAATTATAATCTTAAAATGGTATGTACCCTTTATCAGTCTACCTAATCAAAGCATTCGTATCAGTCTACTCCGGCCTACTTGGAGTAGGCTACACAGTGAGAGCGTGTGTAATTGTACATGCTGAACGGCTTTCAATATCTGGGAAAATTTCCACATCGGGCAGCAAATCAAAACGTATTGGTCGCATACACATATTTAGCAGATGTTATTAAGGGTGTAGCAAAATGCTTGTGTTCCTTGCTCCAACAGTGCAGTAACATCTAACAATTCACAACAATACACACAAATCTAAAGTAAAAAAATTGAATAAAGAAATATATACAGTGGGGAAAAAAAGTATTTAGTCAGCCACCAATTGTGCAAGTTCTCCCACTTAAAAAGATGAGAGAGGCCTGTCATTTTCATCATAGGTACACGTCAACTATGTCAGACAAATTGAGGGAAAAAATTCCAGAAAATCCCATTGTAGGATTTTTAATGAATTTTTTTGCAAATTATGGTGGAAAATAAGTATTTGGTCACCTACAAACAAGCAAGATTTCTGGCTCTCACAGACCTGTAACTTCTTCTTTAAGAGGCTCCTCTGTCCTCCACTCGTTACCTGTATTAATGGCACCTGTTTGAACTTGTTATCAGTATAAAAGACACCTGTCCACAACCTCAAACAGTCACACTCCAAACTCCACTATGGCCAAGACCAAAGAGCTGTCAAAGGACACCAGAAACAAAATTGTAGACCTGCACCAGGCTGGGAAGACTGAATCTGCAATAGGTAAGCAGCTTGGTTTGAAGTAATCAACTGTGGGAGCAATTATTAGGAAATGGAAGGCATACAAGACCACTGATAATCTCCCTCGATCTGGGGCTCCACGCAAGATCTCACCCCGTGGGGTCAAAATGATCACAATCCCGGTGAGCAAAAATCCCAGAACCACACGGGGGGACCTAGTGAATGACCTGCAGAGAGCTGGGACCAAAGTAACAAAGCCTACCATCAGTAACACACTACGCCGCCAGGTACTTAAATCCTGCAGTGCCAGACGTGTCCCCCTGCTTAAGCCAGTACATGTCCAGGCCCATGCTAGAGTGCATTTGGATGATCCAGAAAAGGATTGGGAGAATGTCATATGGTCAGATGAAACCAAAATAGAACTTTTTGGTAAAAACTCAACTCGTCGTGTTTGGAGGACAAAGAATGCTGAGTTGCATCCAAAGAACACCATACCTACTGTGAAGTATGGGGGTGGAAACATCATGCTTTGGGGCTGTTTTTCTGCAAAGGGACCAGGACGACTGATCCGTGTAAAGGAAAGAATGAATGGGGCCATGTATCGTGAGATTTTGAGTGAAAACCTCCTTCCATCAGCAAGGGCATTGAAGATGAAACGTGGCTGGGTCTTTCAGTATGACAATGATCCCAAACACACCGCCCGGGCAACGAAGGAGTGGCTTCGTAAGAAGCATTTCAAGGTCCTGGAATGGCCTAGCCAGTCTCCAGATCTCAACCCCATAGAAAATCTTTGGAGGGAGTTGAAAGTCTGTGTTGCCCAGCGACTGCCCCAAAACATCACTGCTCTAGAGGAGATCTGCATGGAGGAATGGGCCAAAATACCAGCAACAGTGTGTGAAAACCTTGTGAAGACTTACAGAAAACATTTGACCTGTGTCATTGCCAACAAAGGGTATATAACAAATTATTGAGAAACTTTTGTTATTGACCAAATACTTATTTTCCACCATATTTTGCAAATAAATTCATAAAAAATCCTACAATGTGATTTTCTGGATTTTTTTTCCTCATTTTGTCTGTCATAGTTGACGTGTACCTATGATGAAAATTACAGGCCTCTCTCATCTTTTTAAGTGGGAGAACTTGCACAATTGGTGGCTGACTAAATACGTTTTTTCCCCACTGTAAGTATTAGGACGAGTATGTGTGTGTTATATATATATATATAGAATACAGTACCAGTCAAAAGTTTGGACACCTACTCATTCAAGGGTTTATTTTTGATATTTTCTACATTGTACAATAATAGTGAAGATATCAAAACTATGAAATAATACATATGGAATCATGTGGTAACCAAAAAAGTGTTAAACAAATCAAAATATATTTTGTATTAGAGATTCTTCAAAGTAGCCAACCTTTGCCTAGACAGCTTTGTACACTCTTGGCATTCTCTCAACCAGCTTCACCTGTAATGCTTTTCCAACAGTTACCACATATGCGGAGCACTTGTTGGCTGCTTTTCCTTCACTCTGCCGTCCGACCCGTTTAAGCGGTAAAAGGTTAAGGGGAGGGACAACCTATTTTCCTATCAAAGTTTCCTCATCCACATGTTAAAGTGGACTATATATTAAGTAAAGTTATATAAAAAAAATATAAATATATATATCCTAATAAAGTCCTGCTGAAAAATAACAAAATGAATTCAAAGTTTCCATAGATAAGAAAAATAAACAATTGTGCAAATTCTGGACCTTGGACTGACCCCTTCTCTAACATGAATTAAAGTATATTCCAGTAAAGGGGAGGGACGACCTCGATCTTAGTTTCCTCATCCACATGTCAAGGACCCTCCCTACCTATACAAGAGAAAAATCCCCCTCTGACTGCACATAGTTCCTGAAGACTACCAGCTGAAATATAAAGAGAAAAACGCAAGCTAAAAGCCTATGCAAAACTGACCGGTCTTGACAAGAAAAGGTTTTAAGAATGAAGGGAGTTGTTGTCCTACTAATGCTGTCTCTGTGCCTCACACTGTCTGGGGCACAAGGTGAGGGGACCAGTTTATCTTACTGTCAGCTTGACACCTGCTCGTTTATCAGAGAGCTGACTGCGCTGAAGGAGAAACTGGAAACCATGGACCAGAAACTAGGAGCTGTGGCGACCAGGCTACAAGTCAGCGAGAGCCAGGTGGACGAACTGAAGCGTGCGAACAAAGCTCAAGAAGAAGAACTGAAGATATTAAAGAAGGACATAGCCGCTGGTCAGCCAAAGGTGGCCTTCTCCGCAGCTCTAAGAACATCTGGTTCTGGTTACATCGGACCCTTCACCACTGACATACCCTTGCAGTACAAAAGAGTCTTCTCCAACTTCGGCAGTGGATACAACCCTGCTACAGGCGTCTTCACAGCCATGGTCAGAGGAGTGTACTATATCCGCTACACCATGTTCTACAATGGAAGCCCCAACGCTGTTGTGTCTTTGATGAAGAACGATGAGAAGCTCGTGTCCACATGGGACGTCGGGTCAGGAAGTCATGAAGATTCCGCCAGCAACGCTGCCATAGTGCAGCTGGAGGTGGGAGACAATGTCTACGCCCAAGCTCTACGCTAACAGGAGAGTCTACGAAGATGCTGGAAACTACAACACCTTCAGTGGGTTTCTACTCTTCACCAACTAATATTAAATAACATATTTACAGTTCATTTGGCTGTAAACAACAGAAGGGTTTTCAGAAATTATATCACAACTGTATGAAAGTAAAATGAAATAAAAAAAGTTTACAAAAATAAAGTCTAGTTGCGCTCTTTCATTGAACTGTGATGTTGACACTGGGCTGGGTGTATTAGACAAACATATTTATTGCATCATTGTGACTGGTGCACTGATCAAAGGTCATGGTCTACTGTAGTAGTTGTGGTTTGGTTTAACCCTTTACACTCGTACCCGTATAAGGGTTGAAAATGGCAGATTTGAGCACTGATAAATGCCTAAATTGGAACGCAGTGGCTGTACAGTAACATGCTACACATGATGTCAGAGCTCAGGCTCTCCGCAGCTCTGTATGGGTTTTGACTGACAGACATTCTGAAATTGAACACCGCACGTGACAAGAAGTTGCCCCCATCCCTCCCGCTAAGTGAGCAACTTTTCCAACTTTTTTGTTTTCTGAGTGAGGGAAATGTTGTAAATTATGAGGATAATAATAAATACTGCTTTGATGTCATACAAGCCACATTTCCATATCATAAAACTCATGTCATACACAGTGTCAACGTTGATGATCACCATGTTTGATGTACAGTTACAAGATGACAAAGTGTCATACCCTGGGATGTTCTGAACAGAATGAGCCGTTTGTCTATTGTGAAGAACATTTGCCACGGAACACGCACCTGAATGCACGACAGTCATTCCTACAATCCGGTGCCTTTTGGAGCTTTACATTTGTTTTAATATTCTATCAGAAAAATGACGTTTGACTTTCAGAAAAACATTAGTCAAGCTCAGGGAGTGAATTGTTTGGTGCATAATCCTAAAAGGGTGGATATTTGAAGCCTAAAACTAGCCATAGCTCTGTGAGTGAGAATGATTGACCTATTAAGATTTTGAAATTTAGTTAATTTTTTCTAATTTAGGGTAACAGGGTAGACATTTATGAGTGGGACATACAGACTAACATGGAAAAATAGATAAAATAGTGTTTATATCTATTTAGCGTTGCACTTTTTTTTCCCACCTAAAAAATTATGACACTTCCTACAATGACACCACATTCAGGGTGGAAAGTGATATCAGGGACACAGAAAATCTTATATAAAATAATAAATACAAGAATCATGAACAAAAAAACATTAGGAGGAGAGAGAATTTAACTAAGACACTACAATAATGAAAACACCCTGTAGTTCTCCGCTAACATCAAAGCGGTGTCCCAATCCTGCAGGTTCATGCTCTACAACATTCGCAGAATACGACCCTACCTTACACAGAAAGCGGCACAGGTCCTAATCCAGGCACTTGTCATCTCCCGCCTGCATTACTGCAACTCGCTGTTGGCTGGGCTCCCTGCCTGTGCCATTAAACCCCTACAACTTATCCAGAACGCTGCAGCCCGTCTGGTGTTCAACCTTCCCAAGTTCTCTCATGTCACCCGCTCCTCCGCACACTCCACTGGCTTCCAGTTGAGGCTCGCATCTACTACAAGACCATGGTGCTTGCCTACGGAGCTGTGAGGGGAACGGCACCTCCTTACCTTCAGGCTCTGATCAAACCCTACACCCAAACGAGGGCACTACGTTCATCCACCACAACGAGGGCACTACGTTCATCAATGGTGGAACAAGCTCCCCCACGACAGCGGAGTCACTGACCACCTTCCGGAGACACTTGAAACCCTACCTCTTGAAGGAATACCTGAAATAGTATAAAAGTAATCCTTCTACCCACCCCATAAAAAAAAGTCGTTGTCCCACTGGCTATCATAAATTGAATGCACCAATTTGTAAGTCGCTCTGGATAAGAGCGTCTGCTAAATGACGTAAATGTAAATGTAATATATTTAAGGTAAAGGGCACCTGGCCTTGTGTTTAAAGCAGTTTGGAATCCACATTTTACACTAAATAAGAAGTAATATTTCCTGGGGATAGAGGTATTCCCGGGTCCAAAAAGTTGGACCCGTTCCGATATGGACCTGGGGCTTTCCAACCCGGACCCGATATGCATACATTAATTTTTTTAATATAGAGACCTGTTCGGATCGGACCCGAGGACAACTAGACCCGTTCTGTACAGACCTGGTCCAATCCAGACCCGGTCCGATCCGAGTAAGGGAAGCAGCAGAAAAGTATTTTGTTAAGCTACTTTATTAACCGGAGCTGATAATGCGTGAGAGGATGGAGAGAGAGGTGCCGCTCTAACAGGCGAGTCACACAGGGAGCAGGGCGAGACAGCAACCAACCAAACATACTTGCACTATAGTAGACTAATAGCTGCCATAGCTAGGTTATTTATCATCAGTGGTAGAAAAATATTCCAGTCTGTGCTAGCAAAACAGTCCTGTAGCTTAGCATCTGCTTCATCTGCCCACTTTTTTATTGACCGAGTCACTGGTGCTTCCTGCTTTAGTTTTTGCTTGTAAGCAGGAGGATATAATTATGGTCAGATTTGCCAAATGGGGGCGAGGGTGAGCTTTGTACGCATCTCTGTGTGTTGTGTAAAGGTGGTGTAGAGTTTTTTTCACTCTGGTTGCACATTTAACATGCTGGTAGAAATGAGGTAGAACGGATTGAAGTTTCCCTGCATTAAAGTCCCCGGCCACTAGGAGTGCTGCCTCTGGATAAGCGTTTTCCTGTTTGCTTATGGCCATATACAGTTCATTGTTAGCGGTCTTAGTGCCAGCATCGGTTTGTGGCGGTAAATAGACAGCTACAAAGAATATAGATAAACTCTCTTGGTAGATAGTGTGGTCTACAGCTTATCGTGAGATACTCTACCTCAGGCGATCAAAACCTTGAGACTTTCTTAGATATCGTGCACCAGCTTTTGTTTACAAATATACATAGACCGCCACCCCTTGTCTTACCAGAGGCTACTATTCTATCCTGCTGAAATGCATTCCATGTTACTACTTCATGAAGCTGGTTGAGAGAATGCCAAGAAAGTGCGAAGTTGTCATCAAAGCAAAGGGTGGCTACTTTGAAGAATCTCAAATATAAAATATATTTTGATTTGTTTAACACTTTTTCTTTAGTTACTACATGATTCCATATGTGTTATTTCATAGTTTTGATGTCTTCACTATTATTCTACAATGTAGAAAATAGTCAAATTAACTTAAAACCCTGGAATGAGTAGGTGTGTCCAAACTTTTGACTGGTACTGTATATAGATCCATTATATTTTCTACATACATTTATATCTGGTTTTAGACTTTTAAGTTGACATTTAAAAGTTATACCATCCGAACATTATTTTTTAAAAGTTTTAATTTAAAATAATGTATTTTCTGGAGTGACAGCAACGATTTAGCTTGGCGCGCCGTAAATTAATATAGGGGAAACACTGCAAATGATGCCCACCTGACACAGATTGCGATTTATAAAATGGGCCATTTTTGGATTGCGTAAACAACAACAGTAATTGTGTGATGGCGGGGATGCAGGGTTGTGCTCTATTTCCTCAACAGCACAGCTAGGAGAGCTTAAAAAACAAGGCACCTTATAGTTGAAGAATTGAAATTACTTCGGAACTGTACACACTTTGGAGAGGTGTGTGGCCACTTGGAAACACCAGTTAGACCTCTCACTCAAACCCTTGTCATTTTTTTGTCTTATGTTGCACCTACCCCACATCTTCCAGGAATATTCTTATCATGTCACTGAATGTTTCCAGAGAATTTACAGATTTCGTTAATCAACAAATGCAGTGAAAAATCACCAGTGTAATGTTTGGATTCAGTCTTGTGTCAGATGAACTGTTGTGTCCTCAACTTTGGTCTAATAATTTTCCCATAACCTCTACATCTGCATTGCTTGCTGTTTGGGGTTTTAGGCTGGGTTTTTGTATAGCACTTTGTGATATCTGCTGATGAAAAGAGGGCTTTATAAATACATTTGATTGATTTCAATTGCTGCCATGCATATGCTTTTCATATTTCTTCTGTAAGAAACATTTCAATTTAACCCTAACCATATAGGCCAATTCCCACGAGTGTAAAGGGTTAAAAAAGAACTGTTTCAAGCTATTTGACTGAGGTGTTGTTAATTCTTCGGTATTGTTGTGACTGCTGGACTGCAGCTGTATTATTAAAGACTTCTAACTGCTCCTTGTTTTCACTGGTTGTAGTTGGGTGTTGATTTTTTGTATGTTTATTTGGTGTAGACTGAAGTGTTGCGTGTCCCTAACCATGGCGGGTTGAGACCCCTGAGAGACATGGTGGATCAGAGATAACACTCTTCCCCGGATAAAAATTGAGCTTTTTAATTGCAAAGGCCTATCGAGTCACAAGGTCAAACAAAAGCATTTTTTTGTGAAGACAGGACAGTGGGAGGGATTACAATTGGTTTTAAAGTGTGACAAGCTTCAAGAGAGAGGAACTGAAACAGAGACTTTTAAAGAGCGGATATCATAATAGTCTATTCTGGCTATAGTAGTAAGTCTCCAGCTCATGTTTTAATATACAAAAATAAATAATAACAATAAAATACAAAGTAACCAGCTCATGTTTGTGCAGCAGTTAAAAACTGCATAGAGACATTTGTACAACTTTCCAAACCAAGGCCATAACAGAATTTAGATCAATTAGTAACCAGAGACATAGTATCATGGTTAAAGCCATGACACAATTGCGTTTGAAGTTACTGCAGTCGATAAAACAACGGACACATACGTTTCCTATTGACCACTTGTGTAGATGGAACATTATGTTAGTGGGGACTACAGCACAACGTTGTGTGACTTCTTGTGTCAGACGTCTTTATACAGTAGGAGATGTTCAATAGACGGAACACTTACTTGCAGAGTAGTGTCAAAAACCACGAGCTTGGAGCTGGTAGGAACAATGTCATAGCACTTGTGCGACTTCATAAAGCGCATGTAGATATCACTTTCGGATTCTTCAACAGCTGAAAGTAAAGCACATATTATATTATCGTACTGGAAAACATTCATGAAGTATCCAAAACAGGAATAGTCATACAACAATGGGAATCCTTATGCCCTGTGCTTTGACCAGTAATGAGAAGGTCAAAGGGATTGCCCTATGCACGTCTCAGTGCCATATTCTCTTTGAGGAAGACATAGTATTCTGAACAAAACACAAGACGTAAAGTGTTGGTCCCATGTTTCATGAGCTGAAATAAGACCCCAGAAATGTCCCATAGGCACAGAAAGTTAATTTCTCTCAAATTTTGTGCACACATTTGTTTATTTTATTTATTTTTAATTTCACCTTTATTTAACCAGGTAAGCCAGTTGAGAACAAGTTCTCATTTACAACTGCGACCTGGCCAAGATAAAGCAAAGCAGAGTGATAAAAACAACAACGCAGAGTTACATATGGAATAAACAAAACGTACAGTCTATCACACAATATATATAAAAAATATATATACAGTGTGTGCAAATGTAGTAAGTTATGGAGATAAAGCAATAAATAGGCCATAGTGCAAAATAATTACAATTTAGTATTAACACTGGAGTGATAGATGTGCAGAAGATGATGTGCAAATAGAGATACTGGGGTGCAAATGAGCAAAATAAATAACAATGTAAATAACAATATGGGGATGAGGTAGTTGGGTGGGCTAATTAAAGATGGGCTGTGTACAGGTGCAGTGATCAGTAAAGCTGCTGACAACTGATGCTTAAATTTAGTGAGGGAGATAAGCATCAGAGATTTCTGCAGTTTGTTCCCTTTCAGTAAGCATATCTCCTTTGCCAAGATAATCCATCCACCTGACAGGTGTGGCATATCAAGAAGTTGATTAAACAGCATGATCATTACACAGGTGCTGGGGACAATAAAAGGCCACTCTAAAATGTGCAGTTGTGTCACAACGCCACAGATGTCTCATGTTCTGAGAGTGTGAAATTGGCATGCTGACTGTCCACCAGGGCTGTTGCCAGAGAATTTAATATTAATCTCTACCATAAGCCGCCTCCAACGCCGTTTTCGAAAATTTGGCAGTACGTCCAACCGGCCTCACAACCGCAGACCACGTGTAACCACGCCAGCCCATGACGTCGATATACGGCTTCTTCACCTGCAGGATCGTCTGAGACCAGCCACCCAGACAGCTGATGAAACTGAGGAGTATTTCTGTCTGGGGGAAGAACTAATTCTGATTGGCTGGGCCTTGCTCCCCAGTGGGTGGGCAATGTCTCCCAAGTGGGTGGGCAATGTCTCCCACCCATTGCTGCGCCCCTGCCCTGTCATGTGAAATCCATAGATTAGGGCCTAATGAATTTATTTCAAATGACTAATTTCCTTATATGAACTGTAACTCAGCAAAATCTTTGAAATTGTTGTTATATTTTTGTTCAGTATACATGGGGAAAAAGTAGTCCCGGGCATTTTCATATAGCTACAAAATATGATCTCTCAAAACCACCACATCATTGTGTGAGATATCCTTGGTGTCGGATATCACCTTTCTCCTCAAAGGACTTGAATTTAAAAGGTATATTCAATTAACTAAGAAAGCGGAAGTGTCTCAATCGCTGACTATTCAAACTCATAATCTCCATGCTAATTCTCACCGTACCAATACGGATACACTAAACAGCCTTTTGTTAAGCTCTCAAAACAGAGCAGTTGTTTGTTCTGTGGTTGGAAGGAGCAACCATGCTCCCCACACCAAAATATATCCTTAAGTAGTCTAGACTATTTGGCCTACATCGTCTGGACATTGCCAGACATTCTGGCTGTGATTTGTACCGATGCTGCCATCTTAGTACTGTGCGGTCTGTACACCTGTGTCTGGTTGCAGCTCTCAGTCTGTGTCGCTGCATCAGGTCAATGCGTAACACTGACAGCTCCCCTCCCATGGCTTTAGCCCCGTCAGTTCCGATGACGGGTGAGAGGGCTGTGTCGACACCTCAGTCGATGGTCACAGCCCAGGTACATACATATCATAACCTGGGTATCCGAGCCTGATGCCGCATGTAGCATTGCTAAACAGCAAATGCTTAAAAAGGGACGTAAATCAACTTTGTCGATGGACATTGTGACACTTGAAATTAATCAAATTGCATAATAATAATAAATAAAATAAATAAATACATAATATCTTCCATCTGCTTTGTCCTAGATGTTCTGACCCAACTATCCTATAATAACTATTTTAGACTTTGCTTCCTTGCTATGCAGAGCAGCAGCAGAGTGCCTTACAAACCTGAGTGGAATGAGATGTACACAACCCTACTGCAGCCAGAATAGTCCTTCAATAAAGCAGATGTGTATTCTGTTATCAACACAAATACGTCTGCCTTATCTATAAAACCTTAAAACCTAAACAGTAGGTAAGGGTATCAGAGATTTTAATAGAGTGCGCAATGGACATACCAACTTCCCTTACCAAGCCCTTAACAACATGGCTGTGGCTGCTGCCCAAAGCCATTGCCTCACGATCACACCCCGAATAAGCGGCCCAAACAATCTCCCATTAAAACTACTCTGAGCGTCTGAGTATTTCGATTTACCACTGAGCACAGGCATGGCACTCTGGCCATCAGCCATGTTGTTTTTTCTGAGAATTGAATTACTGTAGAATGGTCCTTTAGAAGAGCCTTGATGATTCATATTTTACCAACATGGGAAAGGAGGTAGCAGTAGTCTGTCTGCCTATTATCACACATAGCCTATTGGATGAGCATTGGCTAATATTTGTGGGTTAACTTATAAAACAACATGGCGAGGAAAAATGCATACAGTATGAATAGGATTAAGCGACATGTCTGATGTTGATCCATTTATGGAGTCATATCTAGGTTATTTCCATTAGAACGGTATAGTAAGAACTTGGGAGTGAGAATGAGTTTGGCACTCATTAAAGGCAGCATCCATGTTTATTTTGCAAAAGTCACTGTAAAAGATGAAAACATTCTGCCCACACATCTACAGAAATGTGATAAAATGTGCCATTGTTCTCATCTTTTTGATGTACGTATTCTTTTCAGAAATGGCGCACGCAGATGTTTAGTGTGAAATGTAGTTCTACCAATCCAAAAGGTAATCAACCACTAGACAGCACCTCTATGAACGGGCCCAGCAAGTGTAGTTTATATCCAATCATATCCTTTATGGCAACCTGTCAACTCCACCCCCAACACACAATGATTTTTTAAGTAGGGAAGAATAGTTCAGAACTGTTGTATAGAACGGGCATGACTCGCCATCCAGTGGACTTATGTGGTAATACCATCTATCTATGCTGCAGCACCGTATCTGGGACAGCTGCCAAGCTGGAACATCACATTGTGGCTGGAGAGAGGCAGCCAACAGATTAGCAGGGATGAAGGCGAACTAGTCCCCACCCAACATGGACGGAATCCCCTTCATAATCACAATAACGTCCCTCCCCATCCACTAAAGCTTCTATACATGGATATAATGACGGGCTACATAGCTGGTATATAGCTCGGTTCCACGTTTGATATATTCACAATGCAGTACATGTAACCTACGCATGCACAAAAAATAGGTTAACATTATATGGTTTTAATATTAGGCTACACCACTAGAATAAAGATAATATGATCTATGGGCTGGACGAAAATGTATTGACCACTAAATGCGTAGATGACATATGACTTAAAGGCATCATGTCGGTGAGATAGGCTCATTTTAAAGCGATAGCCCAATTGACCATGAGAAGATTCAATCATTAAATGGGCTAAACTTGCCTTGGTGAACTCTAGGTTAGGGCTGATTACATAGAAATCATAAAATCTACACTGAACAAAAATATAAACGCAACATACAACAATTTCAAATATTTTACTGAGTTACAGTTCATTAAAAGGAAATCAGTCATTTGAAATAAATAAATTAGGCCCTAATCTATGGATTTCACATGACTGGGAATACAGATATGCATCTGTTGGTCACAGATACCTGCGGAATGTTGTCCCACTCCTCTCCAATGGCTGTGCCAAGTTGCTGGATATTGGCGGGAACTGAAACACGCTGTCGTACACTTTGATCCAGAGCATCCCAAACATGCTCAATGGGTGACATGTCTGAGTATGCAGACAATGGAAACAAAAGGGACATTTTCAGCTTCCAGGAATTGTGTACAGATCCTTGCGACATGCATTATTATGCTGAAACATGAGTTGATAGTGGCAGATGAATGGCACGACAATGGGCCTCAGGATCTCGTCACAGTATCTCTGTCCATTCAAACTGCCATTGATAAAAGGTAATCATGTTTGTTGTCAGTAGCTTATGCTTGCCCATACCATAACCCCACCATGGGGCACTCTGTTGACATCAGCAAACCTCTCCCACACGACGCCATACACGTGGTCTGCGGTTATGAGGCCGGTTGAGAGTACTGCCAAATTCTCTAAAACAACATTATGGCTTATGATAAAGAAATGAATGCTCCCTCAAAACTTGAGACATCTGTGGCATTGTGTTGTGTGACAAAACTGCACATTTTAGAATTGCCTTTCATTGTCCCCTGTGTAATGATCATGCGGTTTAATTAGCTTCTTGATATGGATTACCTTGGAGAGGAATGCTCACTAAAAGGTTTGTAAACACATTTGTTTACAATATTTGCGAGAAATACGCTTTTTGTGCATATGGAAGATTTCTGAGATTGTTTATTTCAGCTCATGGAACATGGGCTCAACACTTTACATGTTGCGTTTATATATTTGTTCAGTATATCATAGATAATTCCGAGAAATAGTTGGCCGATGCATTACCTTGTCAGCTGGCAAAAGGTTATGAATGTATTTGCACGTCTAAAAACTTGCAAAGAGGCTTACCTTCATCTTCTAGATCAAGTTTCTCCAGCATGCCTTCAGCTAAACCCTCGACCTGTGGACGAGAAGGAAAGGATAGTGAATTGACCGACTGACTCCTTCTTCCGCTACCTCTCCTCTTTCACTCCACAAACGGCACAGGTAACGCGGGCAGGAAGGCAGCAGAGACCGAGGCGCAGTCGGTTATTGCCAGTTTGACTGTTCAGCTTGAAATACCAGGTCGTATAAAAAAGTAACCGTTTCTAACTACTAGTGGATACAATGTAATAGAAAACGTAGCTGCTCCTACAATGAAGCCTTCCCACGTTGAAACTAGACTTCCAAACTGCTACTGATTTGACAGTCGCCGGGTTTGAGAAACTTGTGCAGTGCTACTTAAACAAGAAACACAGTCCAAACGTTTCGCGCATAACAGCGTGTCTTTCCTTTCTTGCTCGGTGTTGGTAAAAAGATGAGCGTTCTCAGGTAGCCTATATCCAGTACTTTCGTGCTGACCCGAGACTGCCGAAGCTTGAGACGTTAAATATGATAAGGAAATACTAATCCCCTTTTCAGGTAAAAGTGGAACATTCCAATTTGCTGCAATTGCAGTGGACTACAGGTTTGTGCTCTTTGGTTTGCTCTCATAGTGTGCTCGCCTGCAATATTTCAGAGAACTTTAAATTAATGGATGGTCTAAAAGAGCTACACATTTTGTGTTTGGGGGATGAAAGCTATTGTAAAGCTCTGTAAACTGCGTCACGCCGGTACTCCAAAAAACCTCTGAGCGTATCCATCGAATCGAAACTGCCTACTTGGAGAGGCAGGCTACACTGTACCCACACGCCACAAAATAATTATAAATATGTTTCCGGAGATTATCAGTTTAACAACGAAATACTCTGCATTTTAGTGATGCATAGGCTACACTATAAAGTGCATCGATTTGAAATACACTGAAGGATCATTGGATGGTTATTATTGTCATGTGCGGAACACTTATTTTATTTTGCCCCTGCAATTGGTTCACAACCAGTCATTGTATTACCCATAATATTTCATTATTTTTTAAAGAAATTTCCTGCCACCAGATGATTATAATGATGATGACTAGGCTGTATATGGGTCCATGTGTTGAATCCAAAGCAACTGTGATCCACAATTAGGACACTCAATTGTACTAGTTTACATAGCATGCCCATATGTCCACAGAAATACCACCATAGTGCTTCGTAATGTGTAGCCTAGCCTTAAAAAAAGGTTTTTAAAAAAGGTTTTTAAAAGTTGGAAAACTGTGGATACTAAATGGATGAATTTGGAGTGTTGAGTACTGCCAACCAGGGCTAGATAACCATCAGTTACTGTACATACATTCAAAACTCTTTGCATATGCTAAAAGCTTTAGCTTTGCTGTTTGCATACCACCATGTGTTCTTAGGTCTATACGTGATCAAATGCAGAAGCTGGAAGAGCCACACCTCTTTAATGTCTTGTAAGGTTTACACAGAGGGCAAGGTAGGGATTTGTGTCTGCAAGTGAACACGCCATGCTGTACTCATACAGGCAGTAGATCCTTTGTGAAACCCCTGTTAAAACAACACAGGAATACACATTCTCATTGCTCTCACTTCAAGCATACCCAACAGAGGGCATTGTGGGAAGTACAATCTTATGGCTTCACTGATCTCCAAATGGGAACAAACTTTTTCAAACACAATCTGAGCTCGTTGCACACCGTTCATGTTAGATGGACAAAAAATATTTAAACATTTTACAGAGTGCTCCAAAACGATTTATCCAATGAACATGAACAGCCCTTGGTCTGCAGCTATCATAGGAAACTGAAAAACGCTAGGAGAGAATGGATGTATGCAGTGGTGACCTGTCATTTTGAGACCCACATTTTTACCCCCAAAAATATATACACATTTATCTTCATTTTTTGGGGTTGCCTGTTTTCTATGTTATTTTGGCATTAATACATGCCACATATCAGTTTGCAAATAATGTAAAAAAATAAAAATCATTGAGTTAATAAAGCCTCCATACAAACATGGTCTCTTTTTTGCTTTCTTGAGTAAGGCAGCTCCAAAATGCAGTTGTTTCAAGTCAAATCAAATGTATTGTTCACATATACATGGTTAGCAGATGTTATTGCGAGTGTAGCGAAATGCTTGTGACTTGTTTCAGCTTAGCTCAGTGCTTTCTGAGCGTAGGGGCTGGTAATGTTCTCTAGTTGCGCCGTGATTGGCTCAGTGTTCTGTCACTCATGGGGACACTAGTCACTGCCAAATCTAAGGGTAGAGCCCGAAAATTCAAGCACCTTGGGTGCTGCCATAGAGTTACATTAGAAGTGCCCATCCAAGAAGGCTCAAGGTCATTGGCCACAGATAAAATGACATCAAATCACGTTATATCTACCATAGCTTTGATTGGACTGATCATGTCAACATCATACTTTCAAAATCCTAGCTAGCAGTCATCATGAATCAAGTCCACAATCTCCTGGCAAATTATTTTTAATCCTTGTCATATGAAGAGAAATTATGAAGATACATTTGAGATAAAATGTATCGGTGCTCATCGGCCATAAACATTAGTCAACAAGTTGGAAATCGCAAATTCAACAATGAGTGGTTTGGAAGGAATCAGTGGCTAACTGCAAGCATTGCAAAGCAATCACTAGCCTGCTATTCAGTGGAGTGGGTGTGTGGTCCAGATTCTCGGTTTAAGGTTCTCTTTTCCAAGCTTAAAATGATAAAC